TATTCTTATCTTCGATCTCCTGTTGAGTTCGTAGGTGTTCAGAATGGTTTGATCCCTATTCAGCTGAATTCCTGAGACCAGACGAAACCCAGGTCTCCTACTCCTCCGCCATCTTGCTCCGCCCCCTGTTGCTATGCTATATTTCTCCACTTAATAGTAACTGCCTTTTCTTTTCCTTTTTTTATTTTATTTTATTATTTTATTTTTTTTAAGATTTTATTTATTTATTTAACAGAGAGAGAGATAGACAAAGAGTGAGCACAAGCAGGGGTAGCAGCAGAGGGAGAGGGAGAAGCAGGTTCTTCTGAGCACAGAGCCCGATGCGGGGCTCTATCCCAGGACCCCGGGATCATGACCTGAGCTGAAGGCAGATGCTTAACTGCTGAGCCATCCAGGTACCCCCCTTTTTTAAATTTTTTTATTGAGGTATAACTGACATAAAGCACTGCATTAGTTTCAAGTAGACAGCTTAATAATTCAATATTTGTATATATTGCAAAATGATCACCACCCTAAGTTTAATAAATGTTAACTTAAAAAAAACTTATACTATTAATTTTGTACCAGTACCCAACTCTATACTTCACATTATACTATTTCATGAATTCTACTACTGTGTTTATTTCAGATATTAATTTTTTAGTTTCCCCTGGAATTTTAACATTTATCCATTAATATATTAAATATGATAGTTTGTCATATTGGTTTGTTTGCTGGAACTCCATCTGTGTTAAAGTTGAGAAACTTAAAAGACCTTCAGGAAAAACATGGTAAGACCCTTTATGCAAACTTGTGTGTTCAGTAAAGAAATATAGACAGTTCCCTAAATAAAGACATTTATTGAGGACACAATAAAGATCTGAAATTGGTACTACCATATATTATTATTATTTCCAACCAAAAACCCTTGCTGGATAATTAACTCCCACTCAAAATCCTAGCTGTGCCAGTAACTAGCTGTGTGACCATGGTCAAGCTCCTTAAATAGTGTCTACCTCCGTGTTCTCATATGTAAATGTTAATAGTTACTGTGAAGATTCCTTGGGTCAAGATACATAAAGCCTTCACAAAGCCTCCAACATAAATTTTGGCAGCTGCAAACACTATGACCATTAGTACTATGTCAATGCTACTAGTTAGAAAGTTCCTACAGGACAAAATGGTACAGTGGAAAGTTCTGGGCTTTGAAATAAGTCAGACGTAGATGAAAATCTTTACTCTGCTTCTTCCAGCTGTGTAAATGTAAGCAAATTATTTACAGCATCTAAGCTTCATTTTTCTCATGTGTAAAATCAGGATGGTGATAACTACCTCTCAGATTTTTTCATGAGAATTGAGGATAATATATGAAAAGTACACAGTACAATAAGAGGCCCATAATGGCACTAAAAAAAAATCATAATCATAATAACCAAACTTCTATATCTCTCCAGTGTTTCCTTTTTGCTTACAAAATACAATTACATTCTTTTCGGTTTGTTTTATTTTGTTTTGACTAAAATAGTAAGTGCTCATTTAAAACTTCTGATTTACACATTTTTAATTTTAAATTAAATTTTGTCTTTAGATACTAAAAAATATAAACGAGACATAACCGCTTCAACATATTGATACATACTCTTCATTTTTTTTCTGTGTGTACCCCTTTTGCTCTCTGACCCACTCATATATTTTTGAAGAGTAGTGACAATCTAGGGTAACTGATGTCTGACAGTAGATGAAGTGCTCATATTAACAATTAAGGAGGCCACGTGATGTGATGAGCACTGGGTGTTATACGCAACTAATGAATCATTGAACCCTACATCAAAAACTAATCATGTACTATATGTTGGCTAATTGAACTTAATAAAAAATTAACAATAAAGAATTTCTGTGAGCTAAGCACAGGAAAGCATTTCAGAATCTTTCTTCCCCACCATTCCTGACCTAGGTCAAGAAGCAGAATGGCCTTGAATAGTGAGACATGTGCATAGGGCTTTCCTGGTCACTCTGTTCCACACATTCCTCTGACAGGAACTAGACTCTCTCCAGCCACACCTTACACCTGGTGGGTGGCCCTGCAGGTCAGGTGTGTCTAGAACAGGCTCCTGCCTATCTTCTGAGACACAATCTTCTTGCCACTTTCACTTCCAAAGCAACGATTCACTTCCCCTGCTTGGTATTCTTCAGGACTTTATCATACAAACTATTCAACACCCACCACCCCCAACCAGCTCATCTCCACTTCAAAGTGTCATTATCCCCAGTTTATGTAAGTTTACATAATTCACACAACTTACGTATACTGGGAACAAATTTCTAATTATTGAAGAAAATACACACAGAAATTTTAAAAACCTGCATTTGACTAGACTTGAGGGTATTTGAAGGCATTTTGCACCTTTTTAGACTTTAGAAGTTCACCTCAGAGAGCTGGAAAGAAAGCACCTCATTCACTATTCTAACAGCATTGTTCAATGTGGTGCTACGTTTCCGGAACAGTTTAAATGTTTTCACAAATATCTCCTTTATCAGCATGTCTTCTTCTATCTTGCTGGAACATTATTCAGAAACAGGTGCTCCCCCATGAACAAAATCCCCACCTGAATTTAGAAAGATTGTTTCTGTTGCTTCCTTTTCATGATTTAAACTGGGATTATTTATTCCCTGTCATGTGGATCTGAGTTTACACTGATCATTGCTATAATCAACAATAGCATGACTATTTTGAGCTTGTCGAGACAGGCATAACAGAATATTCTAATATAGAAATCAGAAGTATAAAGAGCTACAGACAACTCATGAAAGAACCTACACAGGCATAAACTAAACAAAACAAAACAAAAACCCTAGGATTTGATTCTCACTCTCTGATCTATTAAAATCCCTGATACGCGGAACAGTATTGTAAAATCTAGTAGTACTATACATTTTCCTTGAAAAAGAAATAATATCTTCACTGAACACACATCATACACACGTGCCCATACAAAACAGTGCCGCTTCTCTATTATTTTGATTTATTTTTATAATTATGCATATTTTATTTGCACATAGATCTTTAGCATAAATTATTTAATCCACTTCGTATTAAGCACATACTCTCTACTTCTTTACAGGAGGGGGACACAAAATCACCCGGTAATTTGCACCATCCATTATTTCAAGCAGATTTCCACTAATTTATACCAGAAAAATATCTAGATTTTTTTTTAGCACAGTATAAACTATGAGATTTTTGATTTGGACTATAGAGAAAGTGGAGACAATGACTAATTTAAAGGGGTTTTCAGCTTCCATATGCCATTTTTTCATATCATAGGATAAAAGATCACAACACTTTCTTGCTGACCCCAAAACAGCCCGGAATCTTTTCAAGACCCCAGGCCAGGATGCCATTAGAACTTAAACACATCTGCTGTTCCTGGCATAGCATGCTCATGCATTTGTTCAATAAACATTTATGAACAGCTTCTATCTGGTTCTAGAGATGCAATGATGAGGCTGAGGCAGAGTCCCTTTCCCAGCACGAGAGGGGCCGTGGGGAGGCAGACAAGTTCAAGATTCCCATAGAGCGCATGTTCTATGGACTCACACAATACACTGGAAGGGAAATGGGGACTCTCGGTGTCATCAGTTTTATAAATTTTCTTTGGATTTTATGTCCTGCCCCAGAATCTGTCCCTTCTTACAAAGGTTTAGTTCAATAATAAAAGCTTTCTCTTAACGTTGGTGATGAACAAACCTCCATCAAGCCTTTAAATGAACAGGTTCGTGCAGTTAGTATAAACAAGAAAATGTGTGATCAGGGTTTTTGACAATTAGTGAATAAGGGCAATAATAATAATAAGAGTAGCTTAGATGTCTCCTTTCACTTATTCGACAAATATCATGGAGTGATTACTGTGTGCATTGTCTGCACTATGGATAATGCAAGATTGAACAGGCAAGAATTCATGGAACTCCCTGCCCTAATGGTATTGTGTTCTTGTAGGAAATACTGTTGACCCTTGAACAATATGGGTTTGTTTGTTTGGGTTTTTTTTAGATTTTATTTATTTATTTGTCAGAGAAAGAGAGTGCTCGCAAGCAGGGGGAGCAAAAGCGGAGGGAGAAGCAGGCTCCCCGCTGAGCAAGGAGCCGATGACCAGAGCGGAAGGCAGGCCCTTAACCAACTGAGCCACCCAGGCGACCCGAACAATATGGGTTTGAGCTGCATGGGTCCACTTTGCGAATATTTTTTCTAACGCATCAAACTCCCTGCTCAGAAATTTTGAGAGTAGCTTATATTTGAAAAAATAAACTTGAAGCCTCTTTCACTTGGAGATTCTCCTTCTCTTAAATATTTTAAGAACTAACCTTCAAGGTTATACTATCTCAACAACTTAGACAAATATAATTTTATAACAGAAAAGTTTTCTGCACACTTCTTAGATAATCATCAAGTAATTTTTACTAAGCGGACAAAACATGTTTAAACTAGGCCTAAACAATCATATATTTTTGGTTCTTACAAACCAAGCAAGTAAAGATTCTGAAACATAATCAATTAACAAAACAGAAAATGCCACTGGATATGAAATGCAAATTGTAAGCAATAATGTTTTAATACTGACATGATTAATTTGCTATTAAATATTTATATAAAATATAAGCTGCATGACTAACATTTAGGAGGGCATACCTTTACTATCATTTTTCTCCAATTCTTTTAGTGCTTGAACAAATGTCTGCTGACTTTCAGTGAGAGGCCAACTGTTATACAATACCAAACACTGTATAATGTACTTGTTGACCTATGAAATAAAATGCAGTGTTTAATCACAAACAATAAGAATAAATGTAGTATTTGCCCAATAAGCACATAATAAATGCACAATTTTCTGTATCACACAATCATAATTTGGTCAAGTACTATCAGATGTTCTCCAAAATCTTGTGATATCACAGTCTATAAAATTTATCCTCACATCCCCACCAACACAGGCAATTAGATAGTCTATTGTTTATTAATTTTTGCATCCATGTTTAAAAATGAAACATTAATTTTATTTTTGTTACTCATCAGTTTTGGGATCAGGATTACATTAAAAAGGACTGGGAAGTTTGTGTTGTCTCTGTTTTCTAGAATAACTTATCCCTTGAAGGTCTGTTAGAGCTATTCTGTGAAGCCAGCTGGGCCTATGACTTTTGGAAAGGTAAAATTTTGATTACCATTTAAGTGTTATTATTCTTTATTATTATTATTATTTCATATTTCCTATCTTCTACTGAAGCAGCTTTGTCAGTCCTCTCCCACCCCAGGCATTTGTTATGTCTTTTTTCCCTTAAGTCTTAAATTCACTAGCATAGCGTTGAGTTTCATAGTTTAATTTAAAAAAAAAAAAAAACCTGTTGCTTGCATTTATACCTCCACCCTATTTTTTTGTTGTTCTGTATTTGATTTATTTACATTTTCTTTTTTTTTTTTTTCTTTCTTAGCTGGTCTTACAAGAAGCATGCCCACGTATTGATCTTAAAAAAGTTTAGGGTTGGGACGCCTGGGTGGCTCAGTTGATTAAGCAACTGCCTTCGGCTCAGGTCATGATCCTGGAGTCCCAGGATTGAGTCCCAGGATCGAGTCCCGCATCGGGCTCCCTGCTCAGCAGGGGGTCTGCTTCTCCCTCTGACCCTCCCCCCTCTCATGCTCTCTCTCTGTCTCTCAATAAATAAATAAAAATCTTTAAAAAAAGTTTAAGGTTCATGAACCTTGCTAAATTTTGTTCCCTGTTTTATTAATTTCTACCTTCACTTTTATTAAAAATTTTCTTCTTTTTTCTTTGAGTTATTATTTTGCTCTTTTTCTAACTTTTTGTTTCAATAGCTTAGCTCATTTGTTTTTAATCATTCATACTTCCTGATGAATTAATTTGAAAGTCAACATTCCACTGAATGCTACTTTAGATGTGGTTACAAATTTTAATTCGTATTTTTTAGTTGTTACCGAATTCTTTGTATTCATGATTTCTTTTTTTTATATTCTTTGTAACTAAAGAACTATTTGGCATATTTTCTTTTGCTTCCACATTTATGGGATTTTAGGCTGTCATTTACTAATTTCTATATAATTGCACTACGTTCAGATAACATCTATAAAATATAGTTTGGTTTTTATTGAGGCTTTGCATGTGTGCTATGAAAAAGTATATTCTCAACATATTAGGTGAAGTGTTCTATATAAATATCTAAAAAATTAAGCTTACATTTAAATTTTTCAAATCCTAGTAATCATATGTATTTTTTCATCTTGATCTATTGGTTTCTGAGAGTTGTGTATTAAAGTGTTCAACTATTAACTAACTATTTTTCTCTGTAGTTCTAAACAACTTTTGCTTTTTATTCATTGAGTCTGGACAGTTTGGTTATGGTCATATTTACTTGTTATATTCTTCCTTTTATTTTTACACAATATCCTTCATGAATTCTATGCACGGAGACATTTCTCACAGTTCTCAGTCCAACTTTAAGCTTTCGGTGCCATTTTGTTTAAAGGTGTCACTTTTAAGCTACTTATAGTTGAATCTTACTTTTTAATCTAACTTTAGTTTTTTATTCTTTTAATTGATTAATAATTCATTTGTGTTTATTGTCATTAGTCATATTAGGATTTATTTCTGGTCTTATTTTTATTTCTTTTTATTTATTTGTTTGTTTTGTTTCTGATGAATACATCATGTTTTTTTTTCTGAAATTACATGAATTGTCCCTTATTTTACATATACATATACATATTTAACTTAAGCTATGTACAAATTAGTTTTTATTAATATGTGACCTTTTTCATAATTATACAGCCTCATAACTCATGTAACATAAGATATTTACATCTACATTATAGGGTTAGTATACACATTAAACTTGCCATATATTTTAACATCTTGGCACAGAGAAACTATTAAATAATGCTCAATCCCTTGATTCTGTTATACACTGGTGGTATTGCAGACAGAAAGTATCATATAGCATGTCAATGCTTAGGAAAAGAATCATCATTATTTTTGTTAGATTTTTAGGAGTAATGCCATTCATTGAAGGATTCTCTTAAACATAAATGTACCTGCTGTGGAGTGCTAGCATTTTCTTCTATGGTGGGCATACTGGCAGTTTCCTCCTCCATAATGGGCTGCCCAGTGTCTACAATTGCACTTGCAGGTCTACCCTTATAGGATTTCTGACTTCCCTGCGCAGATTTCTTCTTGATGTACAATTCTTGCTCCTTCTTGGATGAAGCATGCATTAAAAGAATTTGTTTGCTAGCTGAAAAGGAGAAATTTATTATACTTACGTTAAACTGTGTGAAATGCATAGTTATGACTGACTGTGTTCTTTAGGTATATCCTTTTATAAGACACTCAAAGGAACAAGTCAATTTGTTTTGTTTTAATGAGATAAAAAGCAATATCACTGGCTTCTGGGAGATATTCTGGTCTTAAAGAAACTTATATAATAGCCTGTGACTTACATAGAGCAATGCGTATTCTGAGAAACCACTGATTGCTAAAAGAATGTACAATTCAACAATTTTTCATTCATTTTGTGTCACTTGAATGACACTAAACTAATACCATAAACTGTGACTTCTTCAGGGTTTACACACTATATGTGTGTATGTTATTACATTTATGTAAGACTTTTATTTTTAACTTCTCTATTCATTCTTCTGTAATTAAAAGATAATAAAACTACCATTTGGAGGGATAAAAATAGAAATATGCCCCATGTTATTAACTGATCAAACATATATTGAGAGAACACAAGTGAATGACACAGAGAAATTCCAGTTCTAGCCATGAAAAAATAATGGCATTGGATTTACTCAAAGCCATGAAAAAAAAATAAAATTAGATAAAATGTATGAAGCCACTGTTTTCAGGCATTAAACAATGCACAGCCCAGGGCTGTAATTCTTGAAAGAAAGGAAACATACAAGATCTGTCCACTTCTGCAGATTTCTGCCTGTGAGCACCTTCTCGATTGTGACACAGGGAAGGACAGTCCAAACAGTGAACAACAGTGTTGTCAGGTTCAGGTAGCAAGACTGTAGTTTGAGGCTCCTGAGACAACTAAAATTTGTGAGGCAGGGTGCCAGGGGCAAGTACTGAGCCCAGAAATATGCATAGTGGTCCACTTGGGTCTTTAATTGAATTCTAAACTTTATTTGTACAAACATCTAATGGTGCCTGGCAGACAACTCCCAGGAGATTGTGAACTTAACAGAGATTCTGAAGTTTGTACAGTGTTGAAAGACATTGAAGTTCTGCCGAAGTATGGAGATTTAATGAACACACAGGACATCAGTTGAGACTCAAGAAAGGCTATTCTTTAAGGGTAGTACAATGCTAACCCTAGAGTAATGGAAGCTCTTGACCCAATTTAAGAAAGCTTAGAACCAAGTCTTGAGAAGATTAAACTAAGCTCTCAATAAACTGCTTACTAGAACAAAATTCAAAACTCTTTCGATGAAGAGAGCATATGCTTGACTCTTAGCAATGTAGCATGTACTGTGTGTAGCACACAATCATTCTGATATGTGAAGAAGCAAAAAATATGAACATCATTTGAGAAAAAAGTCAATAGAAATAATGGCATAGCTACACAGATATTAAAGATAGCAATAAAACAAAACAAAAAACTTGGCCAAACAAAAACTTTAAAATAGCTATTAGAAATGTGTTTAAGGATTTAAGAGAAAAGATCAACATAATGAAAGAATAAATGGTGAATATCAACAGAAAAATGGAACAGAGAATCAAAATGAAATTCAAGGTTGGACTATATCTGGAATGACACATTCCTGAATGGACTTTTTTTTTTTAAGATTTTATTTATTTATTTGACAAAGAAAGCACGGGAGCACAAGCAGGGGGAGCAGCAGAAGGAAAGGGAGAAGCAGGCTCTCTGCTGAACAGGGAGCCAGATGTGGGGCTCGATCCCAGGGTCTTGGCATCATGACCTGAGCCAAAGGCAGATGCTTAAATGACTGAGTGACCCAGGTGCGCCATTCCTGGATGGACTTTAAAAGCACATATTCAAATCAGAAGAAAAGATTAGTAAACTTGAAGATAAGCAATCAAAATGATCTAAATAGAAGCACAGAGTGAAAAAAAAAATGAACAGAGGCTAACTGCCCCTGGTATTATATTGTAGTGGGTGGAATAGTGATCCACCCAAAGAGGTAGGTCTATCCAGAATGTGACCTTATTCAACAGAAAGATATTTGCAGCTGTGATTAAGGTAAGGGTCCCCAGGTGAGATCAACCTGGATTAGCATGGGCCCTAAATCTAATGATGGGTGTCCTTAAAAGAGAATGAAAAGGACATGACACAGAGCCACACAGAAAGAAGAAGGCTATGTGAAGACAGAGGCAGAGATTGCCAAAATTGTGCCATCACAAGCCAAGAAATGCCAAGAGCCATCAAAAACTGGAAGAGGTAAAGGAGGATTCTCTTGTAGAAACTTTGATGGGAGTGTGGCCTTGACAACACCTTAATTTTGGGCCTCTGACTTCCAGAACCGTAAGAGAATGAATTTTTGTTGGTTTAAGCCACCCACTTTGGGGTAATTTGTTACAGCAGCCTAGAAAATTAAGACAGGTATCAAGTGATCTAAAGTACATGCATTCTTAGTCCTATGTGGCACTACTAATAAAACAAAATATTTAGGTATGAACTTAAGAAAGTATGTGCAAAGTCAATACATTGAAAGTATAGAACACTGTTGAGAGAAATTAAAGACTAAAATAGGTTGAGAGATATACTGTGTTCATGGGACCAGCAAACTCAGTTTGTTAAGATGCCATTCTCCCCAGGTTCCATACAATCCCAATCAAAATCTACAGCTACAATTTTCAAGGAAAGGTGGTATTGGGCTAAGAGTGACTATTGGCTGATTGAATATCAATTGATCAAAATAGAGCTCCAAAATAGACCCATGCACACATAGTCAACTGATTTTTGACAAAAGTGTCAAGGGAATTCAACGTGCAAAATAATGGCTTTCCAACATAAAGTGTCAGAACAACTGGATAGCCATATGGGAATAAAAAGAACCAGAACCTTAAAAACAAGGCACAGTTTGAAGATCTGACTTATTGGGAGGAACAGAAAAATCTGGTTTCTACTGTAGATTTACATAATTAAGAGGCAGCTTTAATTGCCATGATTTTTCCCCCTTTTTGGAAGTGTAAGAACCTTCAGAACAAAAGAACTTATTTCCGGAATTGCAGAAGAAAACATATATCCCTTATTTTGATTTAATCACCATACTTATTTAATGAGTATATTCTGTGCAATTTTTTCTCAGATTGTCTTTAACTTTGTTTTTAAAATGACCTTCAAAATAAACTGTTAAAACATCAAAAAAAAAAAAGAACCAGAACCTTGATCCTCTACCTTACGTTATATACAAACATTCGAGATGGGTCATAAAACTAAACATAGATGCTAAGATTATTAAATGTATAGGATAAAATATGACATGTAATATCCATGACCTTGGATTAAGGAAAGATTTCTTAGATAATACACAAGTAGCACTAGCAATTTTTTCTAAATGATGACTGACTTCATCAAAATTAAAAGCTCTTAAAAAGTTATTGCTGGGGCGCCAGGTGGCTCAGTCAGTTAAGCGTCTGCCTTTGGCTCAAGTCATGATCCTAAAGTCCTGGGATTGAGCCCCTCATCAGGCTCCCTGCTCAGTGGGGAGCCTGCTTCTCCCTCTCCCTCTGCCCCTGCCCCCACTCGTGATCTCAGTCTCTTTCTCTCTCTCGCTTGCATTCATTCTATCTCAAATAAATAAATAAAATCTTTTTTAAAAAGTTATTGCTAAGGAAGTGAAAAGACAAGAGATCATATTTGCAAAGCAAATATTTGATGAAGATGTGTTTCCAGAATATATAAAAAAAGACAACCCATTAAAAATATGGCCATAATGTATGAATAGATACTTCATTCAATGAGTTATACATATGGCCAATAAGCATACATATGGCCAATAAGCTCAACACCATTAGCAAATTTAAACCACAAAGAAATAGCACTACATACCCACCGGAATGACTAAAATAAAAAACACTGGCAATAAATGTTGGCAAAAATATGGAGAAACTGTAACTTATATACTTTGCTGATGGAAGTGTAAATGATACAGTCCCTCTGATAAATTTTTTTTGCCAAGTTAAAAAAGATAAAATATACATATGTCAAGCCATGGCACATTAATTCAACTCCTGAATATTGATTCAAGAAAAATGAAAACATTGTTTAAAAAAAAACTTATACACGTATGTCTCTAGCAGCTTTAGTTATCATATCCTAAAACTGGAATAAATGCATATGTCAAAAGAGAATAAATAAATAAAGTGCAGTATATCCATACAACAGGATAATACTCCACAATATAAAAAGAAATGCAGGGGCACCTGGGTGGCTCAGTCGTTGCTTGTGTTTCCTCTCTTGCTGTGTTTCTCTCTGTCAAATAAATAAATAAAATCTTAAAAAAAAAAAAGAAATGCGGTACAACAACAGGAATGTACCTTAAAAACATTATCCTAAGCTAAAGATACCAATGCCAAAAGAGTATTTGCATGGTTTCATGAAGTTCTAGGACAGGTAAAATTAGTCTACTGTGTTGAAAATCTGAACAGTGGTTGCCTCTTTGGGGAGGGGGGAACTGAATAGAAATGGCCTTGAGAGATCTTTGTGGGTAATAGAAATGTCTATATCTTGTTAGAGGTGTGGATCACACTAGTGTATGCCCTTACCAAATTCATCAAATTAGGTTTGTGCCTTTTGCTCTACATAAATTATACTTTGATTAACAGTTAAGAATGAATGACACAAAGTCTCTACCCTTGTGGAGTAATTCCTTCATTACTTCCTTCAGATATTAAGTCATTCATTCAAACCATCATTCGACCCACATATGAAAAAGGAGAAAATTTTCCTTCATATATGAGAATCTACAAATCACTCAGAAAAAAACCCCAGCTAATTCCAATAGAAAAATAGGCATATGACACAGAAAAATTTACAAAGAAGAAAATATAAAAGGAAGATAAATAAGATATATAAAATCATACATGCTTGAACTTCACTAACTCTAAGTGTAATATAAATTAATAGTTTTAGCAGTCACACTGACAAAAATCAAGAATATGATAACTTAGAATAAAGGATAAAATATGGTAAGTTTACACAAACTCCATGGAGGACAATTTGACAATATATATAAAAATTAAACTGTAGGTACCCTTGACCCCAGAGTTCTACATCTAAGCATTTATCCAGTATATATGCATATACAAGTTCATAAAATTATATACATGGGTTAAAAAAAAATAACCTCAGCATTCTTTGTGTAAATATAAGATTAAAGTTATCACAAATCATGATCACTAGGAGACTGACTACATTAATTATAGTATATCATCAACAAAATTGAGCCTTATACAGCCATATGAAATGAAATATTTTACTATCCCTAGTCTGTAGTACTTCCTCAAAGAACCAATTTCTTAGATTGTAAAATCTGTGGAAAATTCCAAATTTGATATTAGCCCTGGTATAAGCACTGGTATACTGGTACTTATAAGATTTTATTCTTAAAAAATATATGAAATATATTGACATTCTTTCAAATTCCCATGAGAGAAAACAAAACCCAAAGAGGCCTGTATTTAAGATTTTGTTACTGGATCACTTCAGAGCCTTCTACATCTTTGCAATGGAGTTTATTTCTTCTTTCATACAATAGAATGTTTGCTTACAGAATAAATATCATAGTCTGCCATGTCCTATTCTCCTACAAATATTATGTGCACATACACACACACACATTTTTTTGCATGTACTTTTGGTGGGGGTACTCCAGAAATACAGGTTGTAAAGAATTCATAAGTGAGTATGTTTCCAAGAAAAGCAGCTGAAAAATGCTGAGAATGAGAAAGGAATTCCAATGTCGGCTAACATAATTCATAAATACAAATTAATAGCATTTCTTTAAAAATGATATCCTGTTTGAAATCTAAATCAAGAAATAATCTAACTCACAGTAACAGCTCTACCAGTATCTATGGAGAAACTTACAAAATCTATTCTGTGAAACATAAAAAAAATCATGAATAAATGGAAAGAAATAGTCTTTACTTGCATATGAATTCAATATTATAAAGGTGTCAGTTCTCCTTAAATTAATTAATCTACATAGTCAAGGCAGTTAGAAAGAAAATGATAGATTTTTACATGGTTTGAAGGGAATTCGAAAAAATTGTACAGAAGGTCATGTAGGAATACAAATGTGAAAATTAGAAATACCTTATAAAAGCAGAATAATCTTGGATAATGGCTGTAATTTTGGATTAATTTCTGAATTCTGTTCCAATTACCCTTCTACTCCATTTCTGTCCCTTTCTTTGCCGTAAGTAAACTCATAAAATTATTTAAATGTTTGTGTAATTTTCTTGGAAATCATAATCTTTGAAGTGAAATAATGATAACCTATGTGACAAACTATAAACAGTGTCTGACTCTACTCATTTGAAGATTTTATTTACTTATTTGAGAACGCAGGGGAGCGGAGAGAGAGCTCATACAAGTATGAGCAGTGGGGAGAGGCAGAGGGAGGGGAAGAAGCAGGCCCCCCGCTGAGCAAGGAACCCAACTTGGGGCTGGATCCCCGTACCCTGGGGTCATGATCTGAGCCCAAGGCAGACGCCCAACTGACTGAGCCACCCAGGCTCCCCAGATAAATATATAAATCTTTAAAAAAAGATATAATCAGTTATTTAAAAAAAAAAATAGTGGCAGAATTCAGGAAAAGCACAAGGGATTTCCTGTTCTCTTGTTTATAATTTTCTGTTTCAAAATTTTCAACATTGGGCAATGTATTATTTTTATGGTCAGAATTGTTACAAAAATAACTGAATATGTATCTCAGTATCTCCGTTTTCCATTATTTCAGTAACAATTTTATTTTATTAATTAATAGTTCTTGTGACTATTACATTGAAAGTAATGACTTCAAAGTTTCTGTTCATTTTAATAGAATATTTTCTAAAAATAATGAATTAGGGACAAAAGAACAGTGAAAAATTATTTCAAAATAATAAAAAATGTTATTTCTTATTCAGAATTCTAAAAAGGCTCATATAATAAGAAAGTCTTTAAAGTAGAATTATAACAATCTGTTGATCTTCAGAGACTAATCTGACACACAAATGCAAGTTTTTAAAAATATTTTTAATAATATCGTTTTACAGATGTAAATCCTTATTTGCTATTTTACCTTAAATAAAATATTTTAAAATCAGTTACTTAAACATAAATACCTATTTATGGATCTAAATAACACATTTAAAAAGGCAAAAGACATACTCACACTGGGAGCTCACAACTTTTTCACTCCCCAAGAAGTTAATTGCTGGGATTATAGCTTGCCCTTTCCCAGTGGAACTGACAATAGTTTCTTCATTTTCTAAGATCTGTAGCTTGATGAATGCATCTGGTTTGGACGTGCGTACCTGTACTGTAACAGGATGCGGTAAAGCAACTTTAATGGAATACCTATAAAGAAAAACATTCGAATTGTAAGCGGTTTATTGATCTTTCCCTCAAGTCAGTAAAGGAAACTGCCTAATGTGCTGATAGGATAATCTAAAAGTAAATCCATTGTGTGAAATTGACCCAAATCCTGGAAACATTATTGCTATTATAGATTTTGACAAAAGATCTCTATATGCTGTGGTAAAATGAAACAGGCACAGGACATTTATTATCATCAGATCCCAAGTAGGAAATGTAACTTTTGTTTAGATATGATAAAGGCTTATAAAACATGATAGAGCTACAAACTATGGACACACCAAACCTTCCCATTATACGCTCCCCCACAGTTGGACAACTGGCAGCAGACTTCAAAGCTTCACTGTTTACCACGTTTTCTTTGATTCATAAAAATGCAGAGAAATCAAAATTTGTACCCACCACCTGTTCTCTCAACCTTCACCATACAAGTTGGAAATCATTTACAAAAAGACAAAATGTACAGCATAACATCATCCCAACCCCTCCCTTGATGCAACCGAAGAGGTATTGTTTTATTTTGGTTTTTTGTTGTTGTTGTTGTTGGGGTTCTTTTTCTTAATTTAAGTGAATCCTCACAAATGCTCAGGACCTTATAAATCTTCAGTTTCTCTAGAAATTTGCTTTTCTGAATATCGCCTTTCTCCTGAATCTTAAATCTCCCCTTCTTTATTCCTCCTTGTCATTGGTTTTTGTACGCCTATAGGTCTCACCCACCTTTTAACAAAAAATCAAAGCAAAATAAACCAAAAACACAAACAAAAGAAACCCTTCAACTAACCTTGAGGTCCGGCCTCTGCTGATTTTTTCACTCCTCCCCAGCTTGGCACCAGAGGAGAGTTGTTGATTGCCACTGTCCACAACCCCATCTCTTCCTATTGGCTCACAGCACTCTACTCGGCCCCCAATCAAAGTGCTAACCTTGCTCTTTCAAGTTTCCAGCAGCTTGTCACCGCCCTATAGAAATTTCAGTTCTCATCTTTCTTGACTTCTCAGGAGAATTTGACAAGTTTGTCAACCCTCATTTTCCTCTTCTTCAAAAACTCTTCTCCTACAAGTGTAACAACTTCTGTACCTCCTAATTTAGTGCTGTTTTTTTCTTAGACTTCTCTCCCTTTGACATTCCTATAAGTGTCAGAGAATCTTAATATTCTGTCCTAGGTGCGACAGTCACGGTGCAAACTTTCCTGGGCATTTCCATGGGCAGAAACAGAATAATGGTTCCCAGATTTGTGTCTCCAGCCCAACTCCTTATGAAATATCACTTGGACATTTCACTGACCTACCCATAATTAACATCTAAAAATGAACCAATTGTCTTCCTATTGCCCAACCTGCAAATGAGGTTTTCTCCCTGTAACCACTATCTAAGTAAAGAACACTTACTGTCCCCTGATCCCAAGTCAGTCCCCAGGAGTCCCAACCAATGAGGACTGTCAATTTGACTTCCTCAGTGTCTTAAAACCCTTTCTCTTCTCTCTAGATCCACTGTCACTGCCTAGTATGGGTTCATTTGTACCCCCCGCCCCCCCATAAAAGCTATACTGGAGTCCAGTACCTGGAGTATCTGCAGTACCTCACAATATCACCTTTTTCGGAGACAGGGTCTTTCTGAGGGAATCAAGTTCACATGAGGTCATTAGGGTGGGCCCTATCCCAATATAACTGATAGATATCCTTATGAGACAGGAAATTTGGAAACAGAGAGAAACAGGGCAAATGCCAAGTAAAGATGAATACAAAGATCATGGTGATAAGTCTATAAGGCAAAGAACACCAAGGATTATCAGAAACCCCCAGAGGCTAGGAGAAAGCATGGAATAGCTTGTCCCTCACAGCCCTCAGTAGGCACCATCCCTGCTGACACTTTGATTTCGGTCTTCTGGCATCCAAAACTGTGAGACTGTGAGACAATCGATTTCGGTTGTTGGAGCCACCTACTTTGCCAGTTTGTGGGATTTTGTTATGGCAGTGCTAGCGAACGAGTCCACTGACCGGCTCCAGGTTGCCATCAGCACACACCTGGGTTATTTCAAATCTTCTTCCTATCTGGTTCCCCTGTCTCCAGTTACGCTGTCCTTCATCCATTCAACACACTGCAGTCTTTTGAAATTTGTTTTCTTCTATTTTCCGTACCTTTTATGATTATATATAATTTCACAATAATACGGTTCTAACAACATTTCTGCTCTTAGAAATTATATTTAAAAAATTTGTTTTCAACTCATGCTTTGCAGGCATAATGTCTTTTTTTTTTTTAAGATTTTTTTATTTATTTGACAGAGAGAGACAGCGAGAGCAGGAACACAAGCAGGGGGAGTGGGAGAGGGAGAAGCAGGCTTCCCGCGGAGCGGGGAGCCCGATGTGGGACTCAATCGCAGGAACCTGCGATCATGACCTGAGCCGAAGGCAGACGCTTAACGACTGAGCCACCCAGGCGCCCTGCAGGCATAATGTCTTAACACAAGTCTATTGTGGCCATTTGTCTTAAAACTCCTCAAAGCATGTTTCGCCTCTCAGATAAAGTCTAAATTTCTTGCCCTTCTTTGGCCTTACCCTTGCCATAGCCCGCTAGAGCTCCACTTTGCAAGCAAACGTCTTCAGTTCCCTGAAAAGGTCATACACTCCTTAATTTCTGAACTTTCACATTTGCTCATGAAGCAGTTCCCTCCTCACCTTGCCCCCCACTAAGTTTGACAGCTTTAGGACCAGCTTCTAGGACTAATTTAGATATTGGGTTAAGTATCACTTGTTGGTCTATTAGTGGTCCTGCAGTGTGATACAGTGGCCTCCTATCAGAGTAGTTAAAATATCTTATCACAATTGTTATTTTTAATTGCTGGTATGTTTCCCTCCTACTTCTTTCCTTTTTTCCCTGGCTTTCTTTCTAATAGCCAATGCGCAGATACATGACAAGAAGCAGACAGATTAAAAAAGAGAATTTTCTGCCCCTGCTATTACCCCCAGTTCATGTTTTCTTTCAGTATTTTCTCTAAACTTTTACCTACATATAAAATATGTAAACAAATATAAGAACAAAAACATATGCTGGGAATATACTGTATATATTGTCCTGTAATTTAATTTTACTACTGATTATTTTATAATACAAAAATTTTTGCATGTTCTTTAAAATAAAAAAAGTTTTAAAATACAAATAAATAAGAATTAGAGGGGAAAATTAGCTAGAATACAATAAATTTGTACATATATTGCCAAATAGACTTAGGTGTTTCTTTAGAAAATAAATTTACCAATACATGTGGAATCTTTAAAACATATAATCTCTTTAAAATAATAAATCTTTAAACAATAATCAAGAATTTACTTTAATATTTACAATAAGTATGCCTATCACATCTCTATTAATACTATAGAAAAAGTAGAAATTGAAAATTTGTAACAAAAAATAACCAGAGTAAACTGTTGTATTTTCCTACAAATGATTACTACGTAATCATGAAAAAGAATTCACAAAATGTCTTAATGGCACTGGGAAATGTGCACACTATAATGTTAAGTAAAAAGGTCAGATTACAAAACTTTAATTACATTATGATTTTAATAATGTAAAGCTGTGACTAGGAAAAAAAAAACACCAAAAAAATACAACAGGATACTCACAGTGATTGTTTCCAGGTTGTTTGATTACAGGTGACCTTTACTTCCTCAATAATATATTCACATATTAATAGTTAACTGTGGTCAAGCCCAGAGCCCTGTGCGTATCTAGAGGCCCAAACTCTGTAGCCACAGTCACTGAAGGACAACGTGTCAGCACCCATCTGGTGCCAAAAAATGCCACTTTGGGGCATTTCCCTTCTGTCATATACTTATACCTGAATAAAATGTTCTTATCATTGGGTATGTAGTAATCTCTGATTTCCTTTATGGTGAAGGTATTGCCTGGAGACTCTCGAGATAGGCATGGGAGTGGATTATAGGAACCAATGAGGCGCAGTTTCCATCGTGAGGATGATACATATGTGTCACCAGTAAATGCTTCAGCCACGAATGTGTAGCCTTTCTAGAGGAAGGAGAATTAGACAGAAGTAAGGGATACTGTTACTGGTCTCTCAAAGGTACAACATATGGCTTCACTGTAGTAAAATGCTTTATTATCCCGATATACATAAAGATCCCAAGATCTCTTGATAAAAGAAAATCACTATCATTACATTTTGAAATTCCTCTTAGAAAGTGCATCTTACATGTTTTCAGAGAAAATGAGTAACTCTAACACTTTTGTTTGTGTAGTTCTCAAGCTATAACACAAAGCACGTAACTCTGATAGATGATTGCTATGTTTTCTTCCAATTCTTCTAATGCTTGCTAATGCAGATTTTTACCATTGCATCGCCCTGGAGTAGCCCAATAACTTCCTACCTGATGTCCCTGTTTTTAAATACAAGATGAGAAAAGGAGAAGCACTTATGGAAATGTAGTTCCCTTGGGATAACAATTGTCAGATAAATCTATCAAGTTAACAGCAGATCTGATTCCAGGGAACCCAGATATGAGTATGGAGATGAGCTCTTTAGGTTGGGGAAAAGAAGCAGCTAAGAAACCTGGGATAATGTTATAGTGGGTAATAGCTTGGTTCTATGTAATTGGATATCTATCTGGCAAAAATGTCAGTGAAGCAAGAGCATGATATCATAATGAGATACAAAAGTTCAAAGTAATTCTGAGTTTATAATTCCAGACACTTCTAATAAGGAAGAAAAATGTAGATTTGTATTCCAGTTGATTCTGATGCAAAGGAAGCTCTCCGATGTGTTTAGATTTCCAGACACAAAAAGTAGAAATATATAAGACAGTATATCTATATATATATAAGACAGAATAAATTTAATAAACATCTAGGAATATTACCCGGAATTACAATACCCATAATGAGATGAGAATTGCAACACCAGTAGGGACCTTTTAACATTATGTTTGGGGCAAGGAAATAAAGGAAGATAAATCATATACGCTAAAGTATTTTTATTTGTTAAGTGTAATGCACAGATTTATTGCTGTTCTCATTATTTTTTGAGCTTGTAATACTAATGCATTAAGAAACAAAATAAAATTACATGACTCTGATTTTGTGTTTGTCTAGGCTCAGAGAATAAGTTTGAGAGGGGAAAAAAAGTTACAAAATGGTGGGATAGATATTGGTAAGTTAAAGTCTAAAGCTAAACCAGTGTTAGGGTTTTAAGAGAGAACCTGACTATTCTAAATGTCTTTAAGGCTCATGAGTAACAGTAACATAATACTTAAATATTTGCAAAAGACACATATAATAAAGGACTGTTATCCAAAATATGCAAAAACTCCTAAAACTCAACAATAAGAAAACAAACAACCTAGTTAAAAAATTTTAAAAGACTTCTCACCAGAGAAGATATACAGATGGCAAATAGGCATACAAAAAGATGTTCCACATTGTATATTATCAGAAAAACTCAAACAACCATGAGATACCACTACACTCCTCTTAGAATAGCCCAGATCCATAACACTGGAAATACCAAATGCTGATGAAGATACAGAGCAACAGGAACTCTCACTCATTGCTAGTGGGAATGAAAAATGGTACAGACATTTTGAAGGACAGTTTGGTGGTTTCTTACAAAACTACACATATTCTTATTATACAGTCCAGCAATAGTGCTCCTTGGTATTTACGCCAAAAACTTATGTCCACACAAAAATCTGCGCACAGACATTTGTAGGTGCTTTGTTCATATTGCCATAACTTGGAAGCAACCAAGATGTCCTTCGGTAGGTGAACAGGTAGATAAACTTTGAAACAAGCAGACAGTGGAATATTATTATTAAAAAGAAATGAGCTATTAAGCCATAAAAAACATGGAAAAATCTTAAATGCCTGTTTTTAAGTGAAAGAAACAAATCTGAAAAGATTACACACTATACGATTCCAACTTTACCACATTATGGAAAAGGCAAAACTTGGAGACAGAAAAAAGGTCAGGGGTCGGGGAGGAGGAATACATAGGTGGATCACAGAGGATTTTTAGGGCTGTGAAAACACTCTTTATGATACCATGATAACGGACACATGTCATTTTACATTCATCCAAACCCATACAATGTACAACACCAACAGTGAACCATAATATAAACCATGGAATTTGGGGGATTATGACGTGTCAGAGTGGGATGATCAATGTAATAAATGTGCCACTCTGGTGGGGTTTGTCAATAATGGGGGAGGCTGTGCACATGTGGGAGCAGTGCGTGTATGGGAAATCTCTGTACTTTCCTCTCAATTTTGCTGTGAAGCTAAAACTGCTCTTATTTATTGCTACTAAGAGTTGCAATGAAGTCTTAAAACGCTTCCAAGTCTTTTTTTTTTTAAGAAGATGTTATTTATTTATTTGAGAGACAGAGAGAGCGCACAAGCAGGGGAAGCAGCAGGCAGAGGGAGAGGGAGAAGCAGGCTCCCCGTTTAGCAGGGAGCCCGACGTGGGGCTCAATCCCAGGACCCTGGGACCATGACCTGAGCCACCCAGGTGCCCCTGGTATATTCAGTTATGTTATTTATTTATTTGAGAGACAGAGAGAGCGCACAAGCAGGGGAAGCAGCAGGCAGAGGGAGAGGGAGAAGCAGGCTCCCCGTTGAACAGGGAGCCCACCGTGGGGCTCGATCCCCCGACCCTGGGATCGTGACCTGAGCTGAAAGCAGAGGCTTAGCTGATTGAGCCACCCAGGCACCAAAAAACCCTTCCAAGCCTTAAAAAAAAAAATTAAATCTCATTTAAAAAAATCTCTTAAACAACTCAAAAGAGATTTTAGGGTTTTTTTATGGACTTAATACTTTTAAAAATTTATCCCTCATTCCTATAAACCAGTATTCATTAGATAGGTATGTCTTAATTTGTGCAAAATAATGCACAGAATCATAGGCTGAAATGAACTTTGAAAGTCAATTACAACCATAGCTCAAAGAGAAAAATGAAAAGATTCAAAACCATATAGGTAAAGAATGAAAAGTCAGAGTAAAAACAAATCTCCCAGTTTACAGTGTAGGTGTATACTGCCTTTTGTTAGGCTTCCCTCTTAGAGGAAATAACCAAAAACACAAAGACGAGATTCAAATAGAAAGGCAACATGATTTGAGTGGGATCATCAGAAATCAGGGTCCATTGGGCAGCAGGAGTAATGTGCCAAGTGCTTTTTAAAGAATCTGTGTAGCCCTGGAAAAGACTGGGGGTGGTGGATGAATGGCCATGTAATCACAATCTTCTGAAATATTTAGGGATGGAATAAAAACCCAGTGGGAAACTGAGACAACCAGCTAATTTTATCCAAAGAATAGGACTAAATGAGCCCTTTACCTCCATTTCCATTTTAAGGGTTTGTATGATTTTATGATTTTAATAGGAATTTCCAATGCTTTCCTTTTGTCATATTTTCTTCAGAGAGAAGAAAAAAGAGAGCTGAGAGGTGAATGTTCTAGCACTCACATTAAATACCTTGGGCTGTCAAATAAATGGGACTTCTACAGAAAAAGGCCAGGACCCCATTCCTCTGTTAGGTAGGTTGAAAAGCACATCTGTTCTACTTGCTCCTGGAATCTTACTAAGGTGCTGGCTTCTCACTGCCAGTCTATCATATGGGGAGAATAAATTTTGTACCTACCTTATTCTTGGTATAAAGATAAGGCACCACTTTTTGGAACACTTTTGGCACTTGTTCCATTGTGTCATTATTAACAATGTGAAGCATGCAGACCGGGAGTGTAGAATACACTTTGGGAACCAAAATCATATCTTGAGGAACCAAAAATGTTTCTCTGTAATTACAAAAGAATGAACTTCCCCTTGCCGTGAATCATAAAGAAAGTTTAAAATTAGGTTTAAGGCAAGAAATAAAAAAGTTTAAAATTTCCAATAACTACAAGGTATACATACTGGTTTTTTAAATTATTAATATACCGTTTTGTCGTGTAAATACAAGCCCTTTAAGAAATCCCATTTTATAAGTAGTTTGTGACTTTTACCTAATACAATATTGCTTGAAAATTAAATAATTTCTTTCTATACTGATAGCACATCAATTTATATTATGTTTATCATACTCCTAAAAATACTAATAATTAACTTCACATTCTTCACATTTTATTTAAAGAAACATGGATAAAAATCCTGTAATATCTCATTTATGCATAGCAGATGGGGAAGAAGTGCTAAGTTGTGAAAACAGCCTGTAAGTTCATACTTTCACTACTACCATAAATAAAGCTCTACACATAAGACTATCGCATGCCATTTAAAGATGACATCATATGCCAATTTATGATAGCCTCACCTGAATGCTATAAACCAACTATTTGGTGGCTGGTCTGCATAAGTCACAGTATAGTCAGCAAAAACAATCTTAGTTTCTTCATCTTGATAGCATGGGTAAGATTCAATAGACTTGCACTTGCTTTTAAACATTAGTCTAGAAATGTAAAAATAATATAAGTTCTAATGGCAAAGGCAACTTTTAAAATAAATTTTACTTACAAAAAAGGAAGTAGACAAAATAACATAAAATATCACAGTCTGCTGTTGGCTGGATTGAGTCCTTGATCAAAAGCTGTGAGGTTCAGAGTGCATGGCACACAGGTAGGGGAGCCCATTCTAGGTCAACCATGAAAGATGTCTCTCAAAGGTCTCTAAAGTTATTTGAAGTTCTTAATCAAAGGAGAACTTAATTCATGGTCAAGAAAGTAATTACAGTTTATAGGTGGGAAATCAGCAACAAAGCTCAAACTATAAGGGTAGGAAAACAGGAACAGGCAAAGTAGCAATGAAACTGGTGGGGGCCACTCAAGGTCTGGAATTGACATGGGAATCGATACTAGAATGGAGTTTAAAGTAAGGAATGGATTTGTAAAAAGGGATTAAAACAAACAAAAATCTAAGGCCATGATCAAGGGGAGAACATCAGTTTTCCTTCTATGTGATTTTTGGCACATAAAAGAGCGGTATGTGCAACTGGTTAAAAAAATTATGGGTTGAGGTTTCTCCATGTTTGCCCCCTGGAAGGCTGTGGCATATTTCAGAACATGATGGAAGTCATGTAAGAGATGTGCTAGGTAAGTCATGTAAGAGATGTGCTAGGTTCTTTCCCTCCCACGGCCAGGAACTGGATCTAGCTTCAGTAGCACCAGCAATCTAGGTCTTTTGTATAACATCTATGGAATTAGCTGGGATGGAAGCCATAACGGCCATAGAAAATCGTTCTGTATTAGAGGTCTAGACAGATCTAGAGGTTTTCTTGCCTTCCAGAAAGCAGATGGCTTGACTGTACCGTCAGTAAAAAGCAAAGCCATGGAGATTCTTATGGGGGATAAGATTCATATGCTCCACTTGATCACTGGTCTTTGATGGGAGGAAATTGACAGATTTATACTTGGGAGAGTTTTAAGCCTTGTAGGTAAGTTATGAGAACAAAGATTGACCACATATCCTGGTTTGCCTGGGGCAGTCCTGGTTTATACTCATAATCCTGTCATAATTATTAACAGTGCTCCCTCTGTCCCTTTTGTAAAAGTATCCCAGTTCAAATGATAAATAAACTGACCACCCTAACTGGGAACTCTAATGTGGTGGTCTGTCAATGGGGGGCCAGCCAAATCCACATGTGGGTGTTGGCTGAGCCAATACATCAGCTACACAGGCTACCTAGGGAACTGACTGTATGGGACCAGCTGCCATTCTAAGATAGGGCAGGGATTTAGTAATCCAGTCATTGTTCACATCATTCATTCCACACTTTTTCATAGCCTCAGGAAATTCTAATGCATATAGTGCCATCAAAACCCTGATGTATATGGAATATCTTGAGTGACCCAGAGAAATATTCCTGACAGACTTGAAAGATTTTCTTTTAACTTTGCATCTTAGTACAGTAAGAAAGTTACGTCAGTAAACTGAGCCTTGCCCAAAGTTCACTTGGGAAAGTTCTGCCCCTTAAGATCTGAGAATGTAAGGCTGGATTCCAGGACCTCAGTTTCCCATTTAGTAGTAATAATAAAGCAATATTTACAATAGCTAATGCCCTGTAATGACTCATTCTGTAGTTTGGTGTTAAGTACTTTTCCTGTGTTACCTTAATTTATCTTTACAGCCTTACAAAAGGATAGTACTATGAGATAGATATTGTTTTCCCTATATTAAAATGATTTCCCTATATTAAATATTATTAATAAAAATATTAAATATTATTAATAAAATTTTAATTTCAACTTTAGAGAGGATAAGAGATTTATCCCAGGTCACACACCTGATAATTAGTATATTGGGGGGTAGCATTAGGTCTGATGCTGAAAGATGTGTGCAAGTCAGACAAGCTGGACACTCAGGTAACGGCAATGTCCATGGGCCAGGACTAGGGTGAGGTGAATGAGACACTTATCCTCAGGGTTAGGCAAATACCGTATAGATTTGGATTTTCTCTATGTTTAAAATTTTTATATTTGTTTCATCGTGAATTTTTTTCATTATTTTTATAAGTAGGAATCCAATTGTTATTTTATATTGACCTTGTCTCCAGCAACTTTTCTTAATTCTCTAACTCTAATAATTTTTCTGCAGATTTTAAAATATTTTCTACAGGGGCACCTGGGTGACTCAGTCGATAACAGTCTGCCTTCAGCTTGAGTCATGATCCCAGGGTCCTGGGATCAATCCCCGTGTCGGGCTCCCTGCTCAGTGGGAAGCCTGCTTCTCCCTCTTCCACTCCCCCTGCTTATGTTCCCTCTCTTTCTCTCTATCAAATAAATTATTTAAAAATATATTTTCTACATATACAATCATATCATCTGTAAACAGTGGTGGTTTTATTTTTTCCCTTCAAATCCTAATGACTTTTACTTTGCTTTATCGCCATTTTGTCCTTCGCAGAATTATTCCAGGATTATTGTGAATGGAAGTCATCAGGCAGACATTTTTTTCTCATTTCTAAACCCAAGAAAATGCTTTCAAAATTTCACCACTAATCATGTTTGTAGTAAGTTTTGAAAATACCAGATACCAATAACATATTAATGAAAGACTTCTCTAAAAGTTTTCTTCTCTAAAAGTCCAAGTTTTCTAAAAACAAAAAATAAATAAATAAATAACTTCGAATTTGTGTTAAATTCTATCAAATGTTTTTTCCGATTCTATCTGGAGGACCAAATGATTTGTTCCTTTTCCCTGTTAATGTACTGAATTAAAATGACAAATCTTCTAACATTAAACTACCACTGTATATCTGGGAATGACAGGCCTACTTGATTACAAGGCATTATCCTTTTTATTTAAGTCCAATTTTGATTTACTAATATTTTATTACACATTTTTTGCATCTATTCAAAAGGGTGATTGGTTTGCAATTTGAAGAAGGCGACTGACTGGTTTGCAATTTCATTTTCTTACTGTCCTTGTTGAATTTTTTAAATTAAGATTATGAATTGGTTAGTGTTTCCTCTTTTTCTGTTCTCTAGAAGATTTGTGAGACTAATCTTATCTCTTCCTAAATTCACTAGCTGTTCATTAGTATATTGCTAGAAAGGATACCATGCATCCCTCTTCTGTGTTTCATCTAAATTATTACTTTTGCCATTTCTGCAATAATACTATAACCTTAGAACTCTTTAAAACCTTATACCTAACTTCTGCATTCCTCATTGCTTAAGGTCATGAATTTACCCTTATATGTAGCTATTTGTTGATTGCCCTTTGAAGATAATATGCATTATTTTTCTGGCTGATTTGAAGGTTTTTCTTTTGGCCTTTGTTTTTCAGTAGTTTCACTGCAATGAGTCTAGAAATACTTTTCTTCGTAGCCTTTCTGCATGGAGTTTCCATGCAGTCTCCTGAAAAGATGAGTTGATGTGTTTTACCAGTTTTGGAAAGTTCTCAGTTATTAACTTTTTACAGTCTGCGGCTATAATGACAATATTGGACTTTCTGAGCATATTCCACATGTCCCTTATGTTGCTTTCTTACTTCCCATTCGCCTTCTCCTATGCTTCAGTTTGGATACTTTTCTATTGACCTATCTCCAAGTTCACCAATCTCTTCATCTGTTCTGATTAATCTGCTGTTAAATCTACAAATAAGTTTTTAATTTCAGTTGTTAAAAATCTCAGAAATATTTCTGAGTGAAATAAACCAGACACAAAAGAGCACATGCTGTGTGATTTCAGTTATATGAAATTGAAGAACAATCAAATCTAATCTATGGTGATGAAACTCAGAGTATAGGTTTCTTGTTGGGAAGGAATGAGTTATATGAAAGAGCACAAACAAAACTTTGTGGGTAATGGAAATATTCTGTATCATGTTTTTGCAGTAGTTTTATGAGTATATGTAATTAATTAGCAAAATTTAACTAAACAGTTAGGATAAATTAATGACCTTAATAGTGTGGTGTTAAATAAAAAACATTATCTAAAAAAAAATCATCATTTATGTAATTTCCATTTGACTCAGCTTTATTAATCTAAACTTTTGATCTATTTTCTCCTTATTCTTTATTTTCTTTGGCATTTCCATTATAGTTAAGTTTTGAGATTTTGTCTGCTAACTCCAACATCACCAGAGGGTTTGCCTCTTTTAAATACATCTGTGTGTGTGTGTGTGTGTGTGTATATATATATAATTTATAATTTCTCAGTTTTGTTCAGATTATCCTGTTGCTTAGATATGATTTGTGGCTACAGTAGTTTTGCTGAGGCTCAGTCTACTTCTGGTTTACCCCTGTTTCTAGAGTGTTACTGTCTAGGGATTTCAACTGACAATTTTAATTGTTTGTTGGAGTCCCCTCCCCTAGTAGGTCCTACACTCTGACCATGGTCACCTCAGCACCAAAAGACTTCAAGAAACTTTGCTCTGCTTCTCAGAGGTTTTCTGCTTAGAATCTTAATTAAGTATAATTAAGACAAACCCAAAGTAGTAAGTACCATAGAAATGCTTCCACAATAATAAAATATTGTGGAAGTTCAGAAGAAGTGGTGTTTCTCACTGCAGTGATTAGGAAAACTCAATGAACGTGGTAGCACTTGAACAGGAACTTGAAGGATACCAAGATACTGCAATAAGAAATTTCATTATACTGCCTTACCTTAAGAGAGAAACTGCATACTGTTCTATATTCATTTCCAATATACTCCAAACTTTTTGAAGAATATCTGCAACACTGGTATTTTCTTTTGTGTCTAAAAATAATAATTAAAAATAGCAATATAAAAACTGCAAGATGCCTGAAAGATCATCTTGTTCAAAGCCCTCCTTTTACAGATAAAGAAGCTGAAATTCACAAGGTGGTATCCAAAGCCATAGGCTTTATTAGCAGCAAAATTATGTTAAAATATAAAGCTATAAACTTCTAGTCGACAGCTCTGCTCATCGATTTGTGCTGTTTTCCTTCATCTTCAGCAACATCATAAAGTGTTCTTTGATCTAATTGAAGATTCTCATCAAAGAGTTTACATCAGGAGATCTTTTATCACACTAAAAGTTCTTTTTTTTTAAGATTTTATTTATTCATTTGAGAGGGAGAGAATGAGAGAGAGCACGAGAGGGAAGAGGGTCAGAGGGAGAAGCAGACTCCGCACTGAGCAGGGAGCCCGATGCGGGACTCGATCCCGGGACTCCAGGACCATGACCTGAGCTGAAGGCAGTCGCCCAGCCAACTGAGCCACCCAGGCACCCTCACACTAAAAGTTCTTTATGAAAGCTCTATGACAGAAAAAATAATTCATCCAATTTTTCTAAAAAACAATGTCTAATGGGATCCCACTAAAACTCAGTCCCATAATCCACATTGGTTTAGGAGTAGATGATTTGGTAAGAAAAATGCAAATCCATAGTAAGTGGCTCAAATTTAACAAGTCAGAAACTGACTTTTTCCCTAATTATCCTATTTTAATTTCTTCATGGTACTTACTAGAATCTGAAATTGATATCTTAATATATCTACCTGTCTATTGTATGTCTACCACCACTAGAACACAAAGTTCATCAAAGCAGAAACTCTGTCTGTTTAACTGACTTCAATAAAATCAGAATTTAGAACAGTGCTATGCACACAAGTTATTCAATAAATATTCATTGAGTGAAAGAAATGCAAATATTATTAAAACATTATTAGGTTCTTCAAGTTTTTGTGTCTAAAAAGAAAGAAAATCATTGAATATAATTTTTACAGCATATGTGGACAACAAAAAGTATATTTTACTATATATTTAATTTGATAAATCTATCTTTACTTTTTCTAATAGAATAATATCAAAATCAAGCAACAGTAATATTTTTCTCTCACACAACTATACAGTGCAGTTTATTTACTTTACATTTGTGTATTTGTAGTTTTCCCTGCTGAGATGAACATTTTGATTATTTTCATTAAATACTTCAAATAGAGACACTTTACAACAAAATGTTTCAGTACATTCAAAGAATTCTATTGGAGGACGCCTGGGTGGTTCAGTCAATTAAGCATCTGCCTTTGGCTCAGGTCATGATCTCAGGGTCCTGAATCAGATCAAGCCCAGAGTTGGGCTCCTTGCTCAGCAGGGAGTCTGCTTCTCCCTTCCCTTTGTCCTTCCCCTCACTTGTGCACTCGCAAGCTCTCTCTCTCTCTCCCCTCCCCAAATAAATAAATAAAATCTTAAAAAAAATTCTATTGAAGATAAGCCTTTTCTTATAAACAAAAACTGCAGAATGAAAATGATTAAATATAATTTTTGCCTCTGCAGCGTTTTATTTTAAGCTGATAAAAAGCTAAAATAAAATAACCTTTTTCACAAAAATAGTTTATTATACATACATAATTTGATTTAATAGAATACACTGATAATTTGATTTAATAGCTAGAATACACTTCAAACGTATTCTGTGCTCTCTAAATGTATGCCACACGGACACATGAAAGCTTCTTTCACTCAACCCATTCATTCATTTACTCATTCATTCATTTATTTCTTTGAAAAATGAACTAGAAATGTAAAAATATCCACAGCTTAGCTGAAGCTGACTGCTGTAGCATTCTGCTAGACATGGGAGATGCATAGAGGAAAAGACTAGTTCTCTCTGCTGTAAGACTCACAACAGACTGGGAAGACATAGCTGATCATTCACTGAGTCCTTCATTCTTTCTTCCAGCACGTATTTGTTGTGTGCTTACTCTGTGCCAGGCACTGTGCTAAATTCTGGGAGCTACACAGTGAGTGTGCTGACATGCATTCTGACCTCAAAGAATTTCAATATTTATAGAATTACAAAGAATTAGCCCAATAATAAAGTAAGATAACTCCAAAATGTTTTTGATTAGCACACAAATATTCATTCTTACATACACAAGTTTATTTTATAAATGACTGGAAAAGGTACCTGGTGTTCTAGCTCTCATAAGCAATCTGACGTAAGTCCCTCTCCACATGGCTTGAATTTTAATTGCTGCTTCTACTTCTTCAGGAGAATATTCTTTATCACTTACTGGTAGGCAGTATTTAATGTCAACCCATTCCGCTGGAAACAGAAAAACAAATTTTGGACTGAAATTTGAGTTAAGGTATTTAATCTTTTCCCCAGTTTTCAATGCCTTTAACTGTTAAAGTCCCCTGACATATAAAGTGCCACAATGATAGATTTGTCTTTATATTTAACATTGTGCTCTGCAGGTGGCCCTTTTTTTAGAACATAAACATTCTGGAGAAGGGAAACACTACATACTGAGTGAGCTACTATGAGTTCTTCTATGAAAACAGTAAGGAGTTTCTCTCAAAACTGAAAGAAAATGTTAAAATTGCGTGACTAGAGCATTGGGAGAGCGGGAAAGGAGGGTTTCCTTGGATCTGAAGATCTTCCCAGGATTCCTCTAATCATATCGTAAATGTTAGCAACTTTCATAGTCTTTCAGGGAAGAAACAAATAAAACAGGGGAATTCTGGGCTTCCATGGAAATATGTGAAGTTGGGGACACAAGGTAGATTGTTGGAGACAGTGGGCTTCCCAGAGCACAGCTTGAATTCTCCACCTGTTTGGTATAGACCTAGTCTACCTACTCCACAAAATCTTTGTGCTTTTCTCAAATTATTTCTCTTCTATAAGGCTAGAAAGTCCTTTGTCAAACAAATATCTAAATTATTCAGTACCTAAAGAAACATCTTCTAAGGAGAAATCGAGTAACTCCAAATCCAAAACCATAGCACGAAATGCAAATTTAAAGTTGGGAGGAAGTTTTGTTGGTTGAGTTTTTTTCATTAAACGCCATAAAGAAATATGAAAAACCTGAAAAAGATAAAATATATTAGTCCATTTTTTTACACCAAGAAAATAACATTGCCAGGTAATATTACATTTAGAGAGCACGGAATGCATTTGAAGTGTATTCAAATTAAAGTATAAAACTTTAAATACTCTAAAAATAAAAATACATATTTCTCAGATGCACAGTATAACAGAAGATCTTGAAGTCTCATTCACCCAGGAAGAGAGCAAAATTATTTATCACCTTACCATTTCTAATTTAATAAAATTTAATCACTATAACGTTTATAATGTACACTCAATCAGAATATAAGTGATTGAAGAGATATAGCATAAGATGAAAAATATGGCCTTTGTGCTTAAGCAAGTTAAATACTATATTTCATTGGTTCTAAAACACCATCCACTATAAGACACACTATTGTTTCATGTATTACCAAAAAAGAAAATATGTTGTTTAGACTTTTTATCCCTTTCTTATTTTCATCTACGAGTACTTACTTCCTACTGAAAAAACTCTTGTAGATTTATTTAGATAGAGCTTTTTTGTCATACATCACACTGAAACATACATGAAAAAAAATAAAATAAGCTACATAAGTTGGTTAAGTATTCTGAAAACATTTATATTCAAACTCTTACTCTTGCAAATCATTTTTTGAAAATACTTAACATCTGTGTTTTCCTATATAATTTTGTCCTTTATGTTGTGAAGCTTTGAAGATGCACCATTGCCTAGAGTGTGTTCTACTTTTGTCCCTGGGGTTTTACTCAAACCACTGACCCCCATTCAGTAAGTGTTGGTGCTGGCTCATTCCTGATCTTACCAAAGAGGACCCATGGAAGGTTTTTAGACCATAACCAGAATACATATTCCTTCTTCCAAGTTTTTTCATAGTTTTTATCCTGAAATTCTGAGGGATTCCATTTATCTACTCATGCCACTGAGAATAGCCACCAAGCCCCAGCACCCTGCTGCTGGCTTACTTTTAGCTATTTATTTGTCCACAGGGAGTAATGTGCTTGGTGGATTATGTAAGGTGCCTGGGACACCATTTGAGGTGATTTTTAGCCAGGTTCTCCTCTCCTTCTCTCTTTCCCTGTGCCTTGGGGGAAGGGGTCCAGGGGAGGGTGGTGTCAGTCTGGTGTAGGGAAAATCCCTCTGCTTTCATGTTTCTTTGAGAGGCTCTCTAATGTCATTTAATTCTCTTCCCATAAGGATTAGGCCTTTGTCAAAAGAAAACAGATATTTCTTTTGAAGCAGTAACAGTATGAACCCTTATGAACATGTCCCTGTGTGTGTAGAAAATTCTGAAGGCTACCTGGCCAGTAATGATTATAAGGAACCACCAATTATAAGACACACTCTAATTTCCTTCTCCTGTTAAAGTGTGAAAAGAAATGTGCATCTTACAATTGGCGAAATACAGTGCTCTTCAAAGACATATGACTATTGTACTTCCTGCTAAGTCCACATTTTCTGACTACTCCAGAGGGGTGCCTCCCCATATGTTTAGAGATAGGGACCTAATCTCATAATCTATATTTGTAAGTGCCCCATCAACTGACAATGGTGGATAAGCCTGTAAGAAACCATCTAACCCAAGCTGAGCAAATCATTGTTACTTTGGTTGAATAATTTGAGATCAGGATCAAGATATTCTAAACTGGACTCATATGGGAAAGTGATGTAAGTCAGGAGTCAGTTTTTCCATGATATGAACTTAGGAGTAGAGATGACATGTCTATAAGGAGAAAAACAAAATGAAGAAGATACGTTCAAGGGGGTGTCTATCCCCTCTTTGAAGTTCTACACTGAGTCATTCCTATCCTTGGGTGTCAAGATTCCCCTATATCCTTATAAGAAATTAGCACATCCAGCTCCTTGTTATGACTTAAATGAGTTAGATGTGTTTTTTTGTGACATGCTAATAAAATGCTCTAAGTATTTCAGCATCTAGCATAAAAATAAGAAAAATACATGATTATGTTAATCCTCCTACTCTCTGTTACATTTAAGTGTTCATGTTGGTGTTCTACAGGACATCACTCTGATGTTCTACAGGACATCACTCTGGACTACGTGTGGATGTTGATGACCGCAGTGAACTCAGATCTGTGGGCAGGAAGGAGCCATTACTCTGACTTCCTGATTAAGACACATGTATGCTAGAGAGTGGGGAATGATCCTCACACAGATTCATGGATTCACCACATCAGTGATTTCAGGGGTCCAGAGGATTAGGCATGCTGGGACATCCCCTCTAAATGATAAGACACTGAAACTAAGAAAGAAGCCAGTCCTTGATAGTCTTCTCTGGAGTTGGTGATAGAATATTCTGCTTTGGGGAATATTATTCCAATGCATTTACTGAGTGACTTACAAGGCCATCAACTTTGAGCAGGATCCAAAGCAAGAGAAAGATCTGTAGGAGATTTGAGCACCAGTTGTTTTGTAAGCATGCTAATGAAGGACCTCCCAGAAAACACACTAATGCTATTTACTAGTGAGAGAGTCCTTATCTATGGGATACTTATAGTATGCTGCAACGGATCCATCTGGAATTGTTTATGATAGACAAATTTGAAATGTATTGATTTATGGGATGTAGCTCTGAAGAAATGTCACATAACTACATAATACAAAAGTATAAAAATATTAAAAAATTTAAAGTATTTCATTACCAAAATAGCTCCCTTTTGTGTAAGTGAAGCATGCACAAAGGTCATTTACATACTGGATCTGGCCTAGCGACAGCAGACTCATGCACAAGTACTCTGGGTGGCAGGGACAGGAACTACAAATGGTTCCAATAGTTTGGGCTCTCTTTCACCCAGGCTTAGCAGTCTAATCTGTCAGTAGCAGAAACTTTAATACAGTATCATCCTCTGGGGATTCCAGTCAGCACGTGGTGGCAAGTTTATTTCAGTGGGCTTCTATCAAGGAGGTGCAGAAGCACCAAGAAGTGTCCCAGCAAATTCGGACACAATTCTTCCTGTCCCCATGCGTCCTTCCTAGCATTGACACCTACCTCAAATATGAGTTTGTTTTCTCTTTCCCTGGTGCCTCTGCCAGCATTATTACCCATGGGGTTACGGAAAATCTGATATACAAACATCAAATCCAACCTAACATCCCTTTGGACCAAGGGTCTCGTTATACAGAGGAGATTTAACCACTGGAGAATGTTTGGGACTCAATGGTCCTAATATATACCATAGAAAGAATTGATAAAATTCCTGGCAAATTGGAATGGCATATAAAAGTCTCAGCTAAGGGGCCAGCCTGGAGATGACATCCTGGAGAACTGACAGGGTATCTCCAGGGCACGGTATATATGAACAGAACCAAAGACGAACATGCACTGCTATATCTGTAAAAGCTAAGATATACAGGCCTGGGATTCAAAGACTGGAAGTAGGATTGGCCTCTCTCACCATTATTTCCAGTGGCCCATTTGCAATAATTAGTGTTCTCTGTCCCAACAGGCAGTTTGCTAAATTGGAGGACCTAATTCCTGGGTATGGAGGGCAAGGAATGTTTCCATCAGGGAACACGATATGATTTACAATAAACCTAAGTTATGATATATGCCTGGTTACTTTGAGCTTCTCATTCTGGTATACAAATAGGAAAAAGGAACAAATATAATGGTGTGGGGGTAGAATTTACCCTGATTGTCGTGAAGTACTAGGGTTTCTGCTGCATAATGGGGACAGGAAGAATTATGTCTGAATTTGCTGGGACACTTCTTGGTGCTTCTGCAGTGAATGATTAATCACAGCCTGAAAAGAGTAAGGCAATCAAGGTCTTGTGCTCATCAGGATTGAAGGTCTAGGTCACCCAACAGGCAACCAGAACAGCTGGAGCTTTGGCTGGAGAAAAGGGGAAATCTAGAATGGGCGGTAGAGGATAGAGATGTTGAATACCAGCTATGGCCTTAGTGGCCAGCTGTAGCAAGGAAGACCATAGCTTTCTTGTCATATGATGGTTTAATATTTGCTTATTTTTAGAGTTTGTGAACACCATCTTAAGCCATCTAGAGCCATCACCTTCAAGAATGGATAACAGAGTTCACTTAAGGGAGGAAATTAGGGGCGCCTGGGTGGCTCAGTTGGTTAGGCGACTGCCTTCAGCTCAGGTCATGATCCTGGAGTCCCGGGATCGAGTCCCGCGTTGGGCTCCCTGCTCAGCGTGGAGTCTGCTTCTCCCTCTGACCCTCCCCCCCTCTCATGCTCTCTCTCTCTATCTCATTCTCTCTCTCAAATAAATAAATAAATAATCTTTAAAAAAAAAAGGGAGGAAATCAGATTGGTTGAAGAGTAAATCATGGCAGGTATTTCTTGCAGATCATTCATGCTTAGGTGAGCAGTTCTCAATTACGAGTGATTGTGTCCCAGGTAGCATTACCAGATAGAATACAAGATACTATAAGTGCAAATACAAATTACAAAAGCAAGGCTTAATTCTCTCTATGGAAAATAAAGGAAGAACCTCTATCCCTCCCTTTTTTCTTAGATACCACTTTAGAAAACTTGCACTTGCAAGTTCTTTCTCTTTCTCTTGGAAATGTATGTAAGTCTTTTTAATGGCTAAATTTTTGGGATCACCTAATATAAGATATATTTTTTTTTCAAATAGAAATTATCCTTCTAGAAACATCATAACTTAAATGCGCTTACCCTGAAGTGCTGTGAAGTTAGTTCTTTATTGTGGAGGGGTATGGGGTAGTGAGCTGCTTGTAAATCCTTCAGAGCCACGGAGAGTTTACCCTTATCTTTGAAACTAACCATCACATTTCCAACAGCTTTCAAAATCATTAAAGACTGCTCTGTAAATCGGTAGCTCTCCTGTGAAGACAAAGCATAGCAGCCAGCCTCACTTTCTTTTTTATTTAAGTGTAATTAAGCTTACAAAATTTTAATTTCTGTTAATATAGTAAACCTCTTCTATACGGTTGATTCAATAGTTATTTATGAAACGCTTGCTTGATCAAAGCATTTTCCTAGGGTCTATGATCTCAAAGATATAAAACAAGGGATATAATTCCTGCTGTAGTGGGAACACATGGGAAGAACACCTACCTCATATTGGGAGCCAGGGGAAATTTTGCCACAGTAGTAATACCCAGACTTAGTTCTGAAGGATGTCTAGGAATTACTTCGAAAAAATTGTGTGGAATTGGAGAACTGATGGGCAGAGGAGAGTTCAGGGAGGGAGTGAAAAAGATTCAAAAGATAAGAGGGTGAACTGGCTCCCTCCTGCTTCTGGCACCCTCCTGCTATGGACTCTGAGGAGACAATAAAAGCAAAAAGGAGATAGGGATATGGAAAACAGTATGGCAGTTCGTCAAAAAATGTAAAATAGAACTACCATCCAATCTAGCAATCTTACTTTTGGGTGTATAGCCAAAGGAAATTAAAACAGGACATTGAAAATATATCTGCACCCCCATATTCTTTGCAGCATTATACACATTAGCCAGGAAATGGAAACAACCTAAGTGTCCATCAATGGATGAATGGATAGAGAAGATGTAGTGTGTATGTGTGTGTGTGTGTGTGTAGCTGTAGTGCATATGTGTAATACATACACATATATATAATATATATATACACATGCACATACATACGGACACACAGAGACAATGGGATATTATTTAGCCATGAGAAAGAAGGAAATCCTGGCTTTGGTGACAATATGGATAGATGGACTTTGAAGGCATTATGCTAAGTGAAATAAACCAGACAGAGAAAAACAAATACTGCATGGTATCATTTATATGTGGAATATTTAAAAACACACAAAAAAACTCAAAAACAGAAAGTAGAAAAGTGGTTGTCAAGGGCTAGGGAGTGGGAAAACTAAGGAGAGTTAGGTAAAAGGGTACACACATTCAACTGTAAGTTGAATAAGGTCTGAAGATCTACACGTATACCATAGTGACTATAGTTGATAGAACTGTGTTGTGTAATTGATATTTGTGAAGAGAATAGAACTCAAATGTCACCCCCAAAAAATGTTGTCAACAACAACAAAAAAGATAAGTATGTGAGGTGATGGTTGTGTTAATAACTAGGTGGTGGGGATCCTTCCACAATGTTTATGTATATCAAATCACCATGATGTACAGTTTATATAACTTACAATTTTATTTGCCTGTTTTACCTCAATAAAGCTGGTGCAAGAAAGAAATTGGATGTCAAATTGTAAATCTGTACGTCAAAACCAAAAAGAGAGTCGGTGTAGGGGTGGGGGAGAAAGTGGGAGAGCAAGGAAGAGAACTCTGAGGAGTTTGAAAATTCTTTTGACTGGTGTGTAGTGGGTGGTTGGTGGGTAGAGGATGAGCTGCCCAGAGCAGAGGGTGATTTGAGACAGCATGAAGCGGGTGAAGTTGAAGCAAAACTTTGTGTTTTCGCTCCTTTCCTAGGGAGCACCATGGTGCCATCATTGCTCCTTAGTTCCCTGCAGAAATTTTGAGGAATGGTCCAATGCCTAGAAAAGTACAGATCTCCTGCTGATGAAGACAATGCAACTGACTTGCCCCCTTAATGCATTTACCATTCTATTACCTTCTCCCCCAACGTCTGAAAGCCTAGAGAAAGCTTTTTCTCAATGGTGTTTCTCCCTGACGTGAAGCCATGACCAGAAAAATTGTCTGGTCAAGAGGCAGCACTTGGAGTGATCCTGTATGGTTCTGAGGAGCTTGAGTCTCTCTGCTCTTGGACTAATCTTTCTCTTGCTTCTTCATTGGAACGGAAGAATAATAGGGCCTAGGTTTCAGTCCCAATAATTTTTTTTTAAAGATTTTATTTATTTATTTGAGAGAGAGAATGAGAGAGAGAGAGGGAGCATGAGAGGGGGTTGGGTCAGAGGGAGAAGCAGACTCTCTGCTGAGCAGGGAGCCCAATGTGGGACTCGATCCCGGGACTCCAGGGTCATGACCTGAGCCGAAGGCAGTCGCTTAACCAACTGAGCCACCCAGGCGCCCAGGCCCAGTAATTTTTACAAGATGGAGGAATTGATAACCCCAGGGACAGATGGGTTCACAGACCAAAATAACTAAACACCTATGAAGTTAAATCACCTAAAGAAAGAGACAAACTGGATAGTCTGTACTACCTAAAGCAGAATTATTTTTTTTAAGGAAACAAAGAAAAGATTAAACAAGAATTTAAAATAAGCAGAATAAACATAATTAAGGGAACAAGAGACATGTACTTATAAGGTGGGCTTGTTGAACTTCCTTCTATTGAACAGGAGGGAGAGGACTGGTGAGAAACAGCACAGCAGAGAGGAGGCAGCCATGGGGGACCCTGCACAACCACTGCCCAGAGACGCAAGAATTCATGACTGAGCATGTCTGGGCCACAGCAACATTAACATAAAAGAGCTGCTCCTGAGCCATCTTGCTGCTGTCTTGCCCCAGAGGTTTACTGACTGGCTGAGAAGATCCTGCCTCATTAATACAATGAGGTGCTACATGGACATGGGTTCAGGGGAGGGTGTAAAACTGAATTGTGCAGTGAGAATGCCCCATGCAAATTGGCCCCCCAAAAGCAGAGGCCCACATATCTAAAGAAGATGTCTTATGGAGGACGTCTAAAACCAAGACAGGATCTCAGGGGAAATGCTAGGTTCATTTACCTTGTTTCTTCTTTCAGACACTTCAGAACAGAGGAGAAAGAGAAACTAAGAAAAGACCAAGAGAAGAGGAGATGAACAAGAATGAGAGAATTCTCCATGGATCCTCCCTCCTTGAATCCCAAACACTCTAAATTCCTTAGGCCAAGGAAGGGGGTACAAGGAACATATGATACCACAATTTTAAACTGTAATGGAAAGGCCTGTACTGATCCTCTGTACATCCCAAACGACCAGTATGCTATGGGATCTACCTGAAATGTTAACAGACGTTGACAGGGGATTCCACAGAGCAGAGGTGAAAGCAGTTATTGGAGAAAAATGAGAATTATTTTATTTGTATCCCTACAGAGTTTAGACTGTGTATTGTACATGCCATTGGGGAGGAATTTCTTGTAGGATATACTTAATTAACAGTTTTGAAAGGTATAAAAAATAAAATACAATAAATGGGTAAGTTGAATAAAAGACAGGAATGTGATTTAGTTCCAAATCTTTGGGAAAAAAAAGGCACACACACACACACACAAAAAAAATCACGGTTGCTTAAGTACTTACCGGCTCAAAGTGGGGTAGCACAACATCTTCATCTCCAACGACAAAAGTCACCATGCTGCAGATGTGTATGGAATGCCCTACTGGGGAGTATGCAGTGAAGAGCAGCATATGTCTCCTAAAGACAATGGAAAACATGAGGACCCACGGGCTCCTTTGTTGCCCCTCTAACCTCTGTTAGGCGTTTGATGACAACTTGTGCTCAAATGAAGTCAAACATTAGTGAGAGTTGAATTCTTTAACACGGATGGGATAAGGACCTCTGAATTTTCACTCTGAAAGAACCATCAGAGGTCATGGACTCTAACTGCATTAATTATTTGGGACACAAAATAGTTACACTAAATGATTAACATGCCGGAGATCTCTCCCATGCACTGCCGTCACATCACAAGAGAGGAGTCTCGGTTTTTCCCTAACAATAATAATTCGCGGTGCTATAGGGCTTTTGTAGATTTCAGATTCATTTCATAGTCATTTCCTCAAAAATGCGTCATTTCACCTATGTTGTTTGTGTCTCTCCTACCAGCTCGGGGTGTCACTGAGAGCAGGGATGCTCATTTCCCCTCATTTACTGAGCCCTTAGAGCATGTTCAAAACATTCATGCTGATAGGTGAGGTCCTGCGGGAAAACACTTGGAGATATATATATATATATATGAAGGTTCTTTATTAATTCCCTGTTCTTGGTTGTCCTTTTTTTTAAAAAATATTTTATTTATTTATTTGACAAAGAGAGAGAGAGCACAAGCACGGGGAGTGGCAGGCAGAGGCAGAGGGAGAAGCAGGCTCCCCACAGAGCAGGGGGACCCGGATGTAGGATTCAATCCCAGGCAGGACCCCAGGACCATGACCTGAGCTGAAGGCAGGAGCCTGACTAACTGAGCCACCCAAGCGCCCTGTTCTTGGTTGTCTTGATGGATGAGCACTCAGACAGAATAATGACTTCTGGGAGAATCTCTGTATGCCAAAGTTTTTAGGGTAGAGGTGAGAAATATTGAAGTTCTAAAATTTATTACTTTCTAGGAATACTGGATGCTTGCACACATTATTTTAGCATTTGTTTTTGCTGTGTAGGCTTTGCTTTTTCTATAAGAGCTGTAGCTTTTCATTGATCACATAGAATTAACATGATTGATCTTAGGAAATCCAGTAAAAATATTTATTTCATCGGAAAGAGGAGGTAATGTTTTGAATTTTATTTATCAAAATCAAGAAAACTTCAATTATGCATATTTTCTTTAAAATGGAAAATGTGGGGGCGCCTGGGCAGCTCAGTCGTTAAGTGTCTGCCTTCGGCTTGGGTCATGATCCCAGGATCCTGGGATCGAGCCCCGCATCGGGCTCCCTGCTCGGGGGGAAGCCTGCTTCTCCCTCTCCCCTTGCTTGTGTTCCCTCTCTCGTTGCCTCTCTCTCTGTGTCAAAATAAATAAATAAAATCTTTTTAAAAAATAAAATAAAATAAAATAGAAAATGTGATCTGCTTAGCCAAGTTTATCTTAATTAAAAATAAAAATATAGGTAAGATTAAAAACAAACCATAGGTTAAAAAAATAGAAACCATGGGGGGGAAATGGTATGTTTGTCAATCTGTTTTTAAATAAAATCATAGTTATTGCCAAGGAATGTAAGATTTACAAGAAAACAAAAAGAATTGTTTAATAAATGAATTTTAGGAAATGCTGTTTTAAACCATATTCTTTCTTAAGAAATTACCAGACTTTGACAATTATGAGTCTTCCAAAAGGAGATTTACTGAACAGCATTTCTTCAATTTATTTGTTCATGGAATTATCTATCTCAAGAATCTTAATGATAGATCTGTTTCTTACAAAATCACTTTAGGAGAAAATATCCTAGATCCCATATGGTTTAATTATTTGGTAGCCAGTGGTTTTCAAGGTCAAAAAATTCTTCATATGGGAAAAATGAAGTCACTCCATACCCAACAGGCAGGCGAACCATTGTAGCCTTAGTAGCATACGTATGAATCTTCGTAACAAGTTCCCGGGGCTTCAGAGATTTCCAAGAAACTGATTCAGCTGTAAGCAGTCCAGGCTCTACGTGAGGGCTGTCTTTTGTTAAAGCTAGGAGAGGGAAAAATGTTAAAATTTGACTGTGAGAGTTTAGCTGGCCTTCACAACATTAGCAATGATAATAATAATACCAGGAATTAGAGATTTTCTGAAAATATTCATAAAACCCAGAGAAAATACTCTGGGTAAATAATTACTGGAAATAATACTGAAGTGAGACTCAGGTCTTCTTCTCTGTCCTCTTTTCTCCACAGAATCATCCCTCACTAAAGAAACCAGGAATGGGAGAGTTAGCAAAAGGACAAACAAGACTGTCTCATTTAATCATCTGTGACAGAAATCACCATATCCCTCTAGATGCAGTTTTAAAGGAGGAAAAACACCTCATCTGGGAAAATAAGAGATTTTCCTAAGATAGTGGCAAAGCAAGGTTGAAGTATCCCATTGTTTAATCCAGGTTTTTACTCTTTTTTTTAATTTTATTTAAGATTTTATTTATTTATTTATTTGACAGAGAGACACAGCAAGAGCGGGAACACAAGCAGGGGGAGTGGGAGAGGGAGAAGCAGGCTTCCCGTGGAGCAGGGAGCCCGATGCGGGGCTCGGGATCCCAGGACCCTGGGATCATGACCTGAGGCGAAGGCAGACGCTTAACAACTGAGCCACCCAGGCGCCCTAGGTTTTTACTTTTGATTCTTAGCTTTGACAATGTGTAGAAAGAGCAAAAATGAACAAAAATTTAATTTTCATATTAAGTGTTCCTCTTAAAATGAATAAAGAATATCTACTATTCTTCATCAGTAGGTAAGGCCAAAACACTTTTTAAATTAAAAAAAAATTTTAATTGAGACAACACTGGCACATGATATTGTATTAGTTTTAGGTATACCATATAATGATTTGGTATTTGCATATATCGTGAAATGATTACCGTGGAAGTTTAGCTAACATGCGTTACTACACACAATTACAATTTTTTTCTTGTAATGAGAAGCTTTAAGATTTACTCTCTTAGCAATTTTCAAATACACCATATAGTGTCGTTAACTGTAGTCACTTTGGTGTACATTACATCTTCAGGAATTATGTTAGCTTATATCTTTACCCTATTTCCAAATAACACTCAAGCTGAACATAGAAGGGCAAAACATGACTTGAAACACCTCTACACACATAGATTTCAATATTTTAGGACTTGGTGTGGCTTAGGAGTTATTAGTAGATACACTAAGCTTATACCACTAAAGTTTGGCAAATTTATTCAACAAGTATTTATTGCCCATGGCTACACTAGACATCATTCAAAACATTGGGTATAACTGGGTGAAAAATCATAGTCCCTGCCATCACAGTTGGTGGACATTTAATAGTAAGCATTCAGCAAATATTTATTGTACCTCCACAGTGCCAGGCATTGTAAATTTGAGTTATAGATAATTTGATTTTTTTGTTTAGGTTTTGCTTTTTCTCTAAGAGCCATAGCTTTTCATTGATCACACAGAATTAACACGATTGATCTTGGGAAACCCAGTAAAAACATTTATTTCATCTGAAATAGGAGGTAATATTTTGAATTTTATTTATCAAAATCAAGAAAACTTTTTGATTATGCATATTTTCTTTAAAATGGAAAATGTGATCTGCTTAGCCAAGTTTATCTTAATTAAAAATAAATCTACAAGTAAGATTAAAAACAAACCATAGGTAAAACTATGATTGGTAACGGGAAAAATGCTGTTTCTTAATCTGTTCTTAAATAAAGAGATTTAACTTTAACAAAACAGGACAAAAAATTGAAGAATGATGTTTTGTGCATACATACATATGAGCAAAGGGCTGGTCTCAGAGAGAAGCAAGAACAGTCCGTCCATGTGAGCAGGAGGGAGGGTGACTAGAATTGTGAAGAGCTCGTTATGGGAAAATGAGGTGGGTCATTCCTGATTTTTGTCTCTCTCTCCAATGAAAATAGCAGTAAGGTCATTTACTGAAAATGCAGGAAGATGAGAGCGACTGCTAGAGAGATCTAGAGGTTTGAGATAGTCATCCATTAGGACAAGAGTGGAGAGTGCATGAACCAGGGAAACATTGGCAGTGCTTAGGGGCCATTTTGAAATCTGTGGCCCTCAGTTGAACGTGGGGCTAGCTGATAGGATTATTTTTCCTCCAGTCACACTCAGCTGCTCTGATGCACACAGGTGAGATGCAGAGTTCATCTGTCGAATTCAACCAATACCTGGGTTTTGCCAGGACAGTAAGCTGAGAGAGTAAGAAGAATAATTACACTGAGGTATGTCTGAGGCTACCGTTACAATGGCGGGCCATGGAAACTGGGGGATGAGCAAAGTAAGGACATGAAGAGAGGGAGGATGGAGGAAAGTAGGAGGGTCAATGGACGGTGGTCCCAGAGTCAACGGGTTATAGGAGCAGGGGGTTCAGGGAGAGTGAACTGGAGAGTCAGGGCATGTAGTCAGAGCGTGAAACGGAGATGTTTGAGATGATACAGTTATTGGCAGGTAAGTTCTAAAAGATAATTATGAAAACAAAACAAAGGTCAAGGTGGGATGGAGGAAAAGGTCTTCAGAATTGTCAAATCAAAGAAAGAGTGCATGTTTTTCAATAGATCTTAAAAGACTCAAGAACGATGACTTGTAGAGGTGGAAAGGAAAACGGCGTGAGTAGGCATGCCAAAGGGGGGAGCACAGGACTGAGACAAGGAGAGGTGCAGGTGGCAAGAGTGAACACAACCCACGATGTCTGAGCAGGAAGAGCATCCTAGAAGGTGGTGTAAGGAGGACTCTCTTAGAGACTCTGGAGAGGAAATAAGTTCCTTCATCCAGAGCTTAAAAATCTTGTATTTCCCCTGGACTGAATGAAAGTAAACTGGGCTTTAAGACTATACTTTTCTTAAAGCTCTCTTACCTCCAGATTCTCCCCATCGTACCAATGCAGAAAAGCAAACCAGTAGTTCAATAGGTTTTAGACTATCCACAAATAGATAGTAGGACGCACGTTCATCTGAGAACTGCAAGAAATAAGATGAATCATTGAATTTAATATTAGTCTATTAAGGCTGTATTTGCCACTTGTGATAATCATACAATACCTAACATTTGTAGAGAACCTACTATGCTCTAGACACCACGATAAATACTTTACAGCCTTAATGATATGAAGAAAATCACACTGGGTAAATGCTGGCAATAGTCTATGGAAGCTGGGTCTATAGGACCTGTGTGAGATTGGCTGCCCTATCAGAGAGAGTCAAAACTCTTCTCCATGAGCAAAGGAAAGGGATATGCTTGCTCCAGAAATAACAAGTGGAGGAGACTGGGCTTGAGGCTGAGCAGTACTCAGAGAATATGGGTCCCTGATAATAGGCCACAGAGTAACTTTAGCAGAGAATGGAAATGTCTAATGGGTTGTATTAATGTATTTTACATGGTGCTATGTGATATAAACACTTTCTTCCTTTTTTTACAAGATCTTCAGAAATACAGCCATTGCACACTAATGCACCAGACTGGATTTTGGTTTTGAAGTTGCAAGAGAGTACTGAGTAAAACAGGACAGCCACGTAAGGGTTACATGAACATGAACTCAGTCCATCCTATATGGGTAAATAATCCATAATCATGGATGAAAAAACTGAAACACAAAGAGAATAAGTAATTTGCCAAAGGTCACAGAGCTTCCAAGTGGCAAAGCTGAGAATCAAGAGTAGGTATATCTATTTACCCACCCCAGGGCTGGTCTTTGGGACTATTGTACTTTTATTGCCTTTCCACTGCTTGGTGAATTTTGACTGATGGCATATGGTAAATGTGTTAAATTAATGTCATTGCTATTATACATTAAAAGCTTTCATATTATTTTATAATGATATTTAAATAAATAATTAAAATATGAAAGAAAAATCTCTAGTCATATTGTGAAAAAAGCAACCTTGTTATTTAATCAAGTATGACAAGATTGCTGGAAATGCTCGATACAACATAACCATGTTTTAAATGATTGCTTCCCTCGATATTTTTCAATAGTAGGCATTAGCCATTTATCTTCGTTGTTTCTTTTTGGCTGCCACATGTTGGTTATAAAGACAGTTGTTTCAAGTATTCACTCTCTAAAATTATGAAGGAAGCTTGGTTTTGCCAGCCTAGTGTACATGCTGGAGGAGGAGTTTCTGCGCAGAGCTCATTTGCTGCCATTTTTGAGAGTCTGAGAATTTAGGGACAGTGTGGCCCTAGAGGTCACATGGAGGTACTCTGTTCTGGTGCCTGCACAGGGCACCTTTGGGAGCCCCCTGCCCCACCTACACACTGAGCACCAATGGAACATCTATGGAATGTGCTGGAAGAGGCCTCGGGCTCAGCTGGCGGTCTCTGGCCACTAACATCAGGAATGCCTGGCCTCAGACCACAATCAGTCCTTCCTTTTAGGCCATACCAAATGCTGTTAAGTTTGGATTCCAGTGCCCTCTAAGAAAAAATTATTGTTTTCTCATACCACTGATGTTAAAAAAAAAAAATTCAGGGGAAGGAAGGGACTCAGAAGGATTGTTATTTTATTTTGCCAAGCTGAGACTTGAAAAGGAAAAAAAACTATATTTACATCAGTTTGTAAAAATAGGATCAGAATAAAGAACAGTTGGCCATTGTGCTACACACATACACACGTGTATTAGGACGGTGGTGTATAACAAACTCATAAGCAAACTGCCTTTAGTAACAATGACAGCCAACACTGATTACCCCTTGCTAATGACAGGCGTTCTTCTAAGTGTTTTACATACATTCTCTCCATTATTTCCCAACTCTATCTATAGGGCTCTTACCGCAAGCACTTTATAGATGAGAAAACCGAGGCAAAGAGGACTGAGTTTAGGCAGATCCCACCCCGAATGAAACAGGGATTCAAAACCAGGCAGCCTGGCTCCGAGCCACCAACCTGGCAAACCTAGTGAGAGGGGTAAACCAGTGACAAAGGCACAGGCTCCACATCAGGCACAATTCTCAGGATGCTTGTGCCCCTTTCCAGGGCGGTGGTCTTGGGCAATTTGCTCAGGCTTGACCTGCCTCAGTTTCCTTACCTGAAAAATGCTGATCATAATAGTCCTTTCATAGGATTTGCTGTGCAGACTTATTACAATAAAGAACCTAGTGCGGGGCCGCCAACAGAGTAAGCACCTATACATGCCTTCATCTTGTTATTGCCAACAGTCTGAATACGGACATACGCTGCAGTGACCTGTAAATGGTATGTTATTCTCACAGCACACTCTGGGTTCAGTTATTCCTGCTTAGCAGTGTTGTTATCTTCATAAAGCCAAAGCATTCCTCTGGGTGTTTTTATAGATATACTCCAGAGTTAGGTTGACGATTTCTCCCTGCTACCTTCCCCCAGGCCCTACTACAGATCTGTTCCTTACTTTCAGAGCAGACATCCAGCTATAGAGCACCTCTTGAAAAATGCTCAAAAGGTTTTCTCTGCCTGCATTTTCATCAAATACGAGTGCAACGAGAAAAGTCATCTCCAATACTTCTTTCTTCCCCTACCTCTGCACAGGCCTTATAGAGATGTGACTTTATCATCAGGGGCTTGAATGGCCCCCTACAAGCAGCATAAGAGTTTCAGTACAATCCAGCTTCCTAGAGTATGTTTCATAGTCTTCCCCAAAATGCCACACAATTTGTGAGATTTGTTAATTGATTCAGTCAATAATTTTTTATTGAGTTCGTGCCTCATGCCAGGACCAGTGTTGTAATAGTACACAAAAGGACAGAGTCCTTCTTAAGATGTTGACATCAAGCAGGTGGGTGGGGGGAGGGGCATGAGAAGTAATCAGGCCTTTGGGACCGAGGAGGGTAAGTACAGGTCACACAGAATGCATGGAGTCAGGGTACTTGACCTAGACTCTGTCGCCAGGAAAGGAGTTCTCACAGGTTCAAGGACATTGATGCTGTTCTGAAAGACTTCTAGCATTAGCCAGATGAAAGCAATAAAGATGAAGGGGAATAGACTCCACGTAGAGGGAAGAACATGGACAAAAACAGCAGAAATTGTAGTAGAAATGTGCCGTTGTTTTAGGAATAGCATGCAATTCAATAGACTAATTGAAATCAAATATAGTGACTTTATTTGTGCTTCAGTTATTCATAAATCAAATATTTTTAATGTGAATTTACATAATAATGCAGCTCAGGATTGAACATAATCAGTTAAATCATACTCAGAGATACGAGGTAGCAGAATTTTTGTCTGGATAAGAGATCAGTAGAAGACGCTAGGAATTGATTTTGTTAATATAATTATAAATTTAGAAACGCTTGATAGATTTGAAGGTGTTTTTCACTAGCATGATTTCATCAAAAATTCACATAAAACAAAGAAAAGAGAAGAGATCATAATATATTTACCTTGAATTCTGTTTTTTGAAAGTTAAGGCAATATGAATTTGGCTTGTGAAAAATATATATGTTCCTGAAAAACATTATTTATAACGGGTTACTGTCATCATTCGCAATGGACTAGTACTACATGCTGTTTCATAGAATCAAATAATTATAGGCAAAACAAGGTAAAGACAGATGAAAATTTAAAAATATATGTATAATAACAACCCAGGAGAACAATGGTTGCCAGGGACTGAGGGTGGGAGAAATAGGAAGAGGTTGGTAAATGGATACAAATGTTCAGTTACAAGGTGAAGAAGGTCTGAGGATCTAATGTATAACATTAATAATACCAGTTTGTATCACTGAAATTTGCTAGGAGAGTAGAACTTAAATGTCCCGCCCCCCCTCCCCCCCAAATTGGCAAATGTGTGAGGCGTTGGATGTGTTAACTCGATGGGGAGAATCTTTCACAATGTATATCTATTCATCACCATGTGCATTTTAAATATCTTACAATTTTATCAATTATATGTCAGTAAAGCTTAAGAAAAATAATAACTGCATTGAATTAGTTGTCCTAAAGAGACAAAAATGATCCCTCAGTAAATAAACTATCTTTATCTTCATCAACAAATAAGTGTCTGAGGATGAGCTGAAACTGACCTGAGATCTGTTTGACTATTATTATTCTATGTGGGCAATCAACTCACCTATTTTTCTTTCTAACATTTTTGCTGGATATTATATCAACATCAGACTAATATTGGTTTAACTCTTTTTGAATGATAGCTAAAAAGTAATGGCTTATACGAGAAAAGTCATCTCCAATACTTCTTTCTTCCCCTACCTCTGCACAGGCCTTATAGAGATGTGACTTTATCATCAGGGGCTTGAATGGCCCCCTACAAGCAGCATAAGAGTTTCAGTACAATCCAGCTTCCTAGAGTATGTTTCATAGTCTTCCCCAAAATGCCACACAATTTGTGAGATTTGTTAATTGATTCAGTCAATAATTTTTTATTGAGTTCGTGCCTCATGCCAGGACCAGTGTTGTAATAGTACACAAAAGGACAGAGTCCTTCTTAAGATGTTGACATCAAGCAGGTGGGTGGGGGGAGGGGCATGAGAAGTAATCAGGCCTTTGGGACCGAGGAGGGTAAGTACAGGTCACACAGAATGCATGGAGTCAGGGTACTTGACCTAGACTCTGTCGCCAGGAAAGGAGTTCTCACAGGTTCAAGGACATTGATGCTGTTCTGAAAGACTTCTAGCATTAGCCAGATGAAAGCAATAAAGATGAAGGGGAATAGACTCCACGTAGAGGGAAGAACATGGACAAAAACAGCAGAAATTGTAGTAGAAATGTGCCGTTGTTTTAGGAATAGCATGCAATTCAATAGACTAATTGAAATCAAATATAGTGACTTTATTTGTGCTTCAGTTATTCATAAATCAAATATTTTTAATGTGAATTTACATAATAATGCAGCTCAGGATTGAACATAATCAGTTAAATCATACTCAGAGATACGAGGTAGCAGAATTTTTGTCTGGATAAGAGATCAGTAGAAGACGCTAGGAATTGATTTTGTTAATATAATTATAAATTTAGAAACGCTTGATAGATTTGAAGGTGTTTTTCACTAGCATGATTTCATCAAAAATTCACATAAAACAAAGAAAAGAGAAGAGATCATAATATATTTACCTTGAATTCTGTTTTTTGAAAGTTAAGGCAATATGAATTTGGCTTGTGAAAAATATATATGTTCCTGAAAAACATTATTTATAACGGGTTACTGTCATCATTCGCAATGGACTAGTACTACATGCTGTTTCATAGAATCAAATAATTATAGGCAAAACAAGGTAAAGACAGATGAAAATTTAAAAATATATGTATAATAACAACCCAGGAGAACAATGGTTGCCAGGGACTGAGGGTGGGAGAAATAGGAAGAGGTTGGTAAATGGATACAAATGTTCAGTTACAAGATGAAGAAGGTCTGAGGATCTAATGTATAACATTAATAATACCAGTTTGTATCACTGAAATTTGCTAGGAGAGTAGAACTTAAATGTCCCGCCCCCCCTCCCCCCCAAATTGGCAAATGTGTGAGGCGTTGGATGTGTTAACTCGATGGGGAGAATCTTTCACAATGTATATCTATTCATCACCATGTGCATTTTAAATATCTTACAATTTTATCAATTATATGTCAGTAAAGCTTAAGAAAAATAATAACTGCATTGAATTAGTTGTCCTAAAGAGACAAAAATGATCCCTCAGTAAATAAACTATCTTTATCTTCATCAACAAATAAGTGTCTGAGGATGAGCTGAAACTGACCTGAGATCTGTTTGACTATTATTATTCTATGTGGGCAATCAACTCACCTATTTTTCTAACATTTTTGCTGGATATTATATCAACATCAGACTAATATTGGTTTAACTCTTTTTGAATGATAGCTAAAAAGTAATGGCTTATATATCCACTATATTTAATACCCACAAAAAATTTATACTTACTGAAAACATACACAGAAGTCTTCAAAATCCAACCATATTTCTTTAGAAACACTATTATTTATTGTTGCAAACTCCTCCTGTGATTTATCCTGTGTGGCTGTTGTCTGGCTGACCAAATCTCTTTCCAAACTAAATCCTTCACCTTGATGGGCTGTGTCATTCATTCCAAGGTCTATCAGTTCATCTGTGTGTAGCAGAAGACAAACATGTCAATTGCACCTACATTGTTAAATATTAAGTTATTGAGATATGGAAAATTATAGAGGGCAATTTGCATATTGAAGTCTACTTTTGAAAAAACATTTCCTGAGGCAATCATTTACATGCAAGCCTCAAATATGGGGAGGCCCATGCAGAGACACATTTTCATACACTCTGGAGAATGTAATCCTAACTTAAACAAATAGCAGAGTGTTTAAAACTTTTGAAATCACTTTCATAAATTTGTGTGCCCATTCTCCACAGATCATTAAGATACAGCAGAAACTAACTAGTTTAGGTACTTAACCTCGGCTACAGGCAGACATGTTCATCTAAGAGGGGAGGGGATAGCTTATGCACCAGAAGAAAGGAGAACCCGGGAGAGCTATTGCAATAAATACATTTCAGAAGCCATTTAAATGCTCCCGCATAGTTAGTGATTCTGTACCTTATTTTATGTTGATCAAGTAATGTCATAAAGTTCTTATAGACTTCTTGAGTCAAAATTCTACATATATACATGCCACATAATGCTTTTTTGGATTTCAGGATTGGCCAAGTCTATATTTAGGAACTGAGGAACTGGTGATGGTTTCCTTGCTTTGATCATCACACGCATGTATTAAAACGCATGAACTGTACTCTTGGGCCTTTAATCAGATCATCTTTTATTTTGACTTTAAGCATGAATTTAACAAGGGAGATTATCTGATTTTTCTAGTTCAGAGTAGATTAGACTTAACACATCAGAGGAGACACAGGAGACAGACCGCCAAGAGCCAGGAGAAGGGACAGCTAAGAGCTGTCAAGAAACAGAGATCCCTTGTGCTTTGATGTTTGTGAAAGTCATGAGAAGATTATTAATTTACCTTTTCCAAGTATAACTTGTGAAATAATATTACCCTGTGAAGTGAAAGGAACACGTTAAGAAACCATGTATAAATTCAGCAAAACATGTTAGCTATTTAAAGCACCAATGCTTTTAAAAGAGTTAATACTGTCTTTTAATCATTGAAGAAATAGATTTCTGCCAATAGTTACTAAAACATGATAAAGGAGAAACTTTGTTTTTAACCTTAAAGTTCAAAGATATGAATTTAATTCAATAATAGGCTGAGGGTTTAAGTTTGCGACATTAAAACCCAGAAAATGAGAGTTTATTAAATTATTGAGTCTTAAAAGTTAAATTAAAACAATAATATCCTCAAGTAGTTATTTGGCTTGGTATGAAGCACCTGACATTATTACAGATTGAATATAATGAGATGAGATTATAATTAGCAGTTAACATACAGAACCTAGAAAGGTGGGTTTCAAATTATAAAAAATTGTTTTTCCAAATTTTAACAGGGAAATGAAGGTGAATTCATTTGTGCAATTCCGTTTTCTCTGTGACACAGTTAAAATATGTATAAAAGGTAAAATGGTACAAACTCATACAGACACATGATGGATGATGGCAACAATACTTTGGATGATGTAAAGGGATGCAGGTGATAACAGAGCAGTGCTACCTGAGAAGCTAGTGAGAAGCAAGCCCATCCATGCCTTAGGGCCCCAGAAATGATTAACAGGCATCTGAGAAGGAGAGAATGCTATACGGCCTCATATCAAAATACAGGAATGGGTTAAATGTCTATTTAAGGAACAGACAAATCCCCATTTTGCTGTAATCCTTTCTGATTTAACATCTAGCCTTCTGCCTAAACAGGACACTGGAAATTGCTTCATGTGGAGAAATTAAATGAGCAATCTCCAGATCTGGGTTCACAGATACCATGGGAAACAAGAGAAGCTGCCTCTATAGAGAGGAGAAGAATTAAGTGAAAGTCCACATGCTGAACTTTGAGACTCTCAGCTCCTCTGTACTGCTTGGCTGCAATAACACTGATGGATAAGTGTCTACTAACCCCTGGGACCCATTCCACCCTAGGAGGGAAATTAGAGGACTCTTAACTGGAGAAACTGACCAAGGCCAGGGAAAAACATCCAAGGAATCTACATTTGGAGCTAATCCCACCCCCAAATGAAGCTCATTTATCCCCAATTATCCTAAATTAATTATCCTACCAGCTGATAAGCTCTAGCCATTCTATAAAGCCACTTCCAATCAGCAGCTAATTAATGTCATGAATTCCTTAAATATATATATATGTGCAACAAAGTATCACCAGACAATTGAGGAAGGAGACTTAAAGAAACTAAAGGGTGTGTATGGGGAGATTAATAGAAAACAAAAACAATTATATAGGGATACATTTTTTAAATTGGTAATATCAGAAAGATCAGAGAATATCCATCTACCAAATAAGAAACTTCTACAAAAATACAATCAAGAATGGGAGCTCTTAGAAACTAAAAATAGGAACGTGAAATAAACTCAACAGAAAGTTTGGATGACAAGGTTGACACAAAGACAAAGAGATTAGAGCTATACATCTTTTAGAAGAAAACATTAGGGGGAAAGCTTCATGACATTGAATTTGACAGTGATTTCTTGGATATGACACTAAACAACAGCAAAAACAAATGTAAAAATAGATAAACTGGACTACATCAAAATAAAAAAATTCTGTACATCAAAGGATACAATCAATACCATGAAGATGCAACCTGTGGAATGGGAGAAAATATCTGCAAATCATGTATCTGATAAAAGTGTAGCATCAACAATATATAAAGAACTTATACAAAGAACAACAAAAACCAAATAAACTAATTTAAAAATGGGCAAAGGACTTAGATATTTATCCAAAGAAGATATATAAGTGACAAAAAAGCATATGAAAAGATGCTCAACATCACTAATCATTCGGGAAATGCAGATCAAAAGTATAGTGAGATACAACCTCACACCCGTTGTGATGGCTACTATTATAAAAAAATAAAAACAGGAGTGCATGTTGGTGAGGACATGGAGAAATTGGAAGTCTTGTGCACTCAGAGTGAGAATATAAAGTGAAAAACAGTATGGTAGATCCTGAAAAATTAAAGTAGACTTACCATGTGATCCAAAAATTCCACATCTGGATATAAACCCAACAAAATTGAAGGCAGTGTCTCAAAGAGATATTTTTACACCCATGGTCATAGCAGAATTATTCACCAAGTGTCCATTGATGGATGAATGAATAAACAAAATGGGATATATTGATAGATGATTGATTAATAGATAAATAGATAGATAGATGATAGATGATAGATAGATAGATAGATAGATAGATAGATAGATAGATAGATGGATGTGGGAATTTCTTTCCTTTATTGCCTCCACAGTAATAATCCTTATATAGCTAGAATATAGATTCAACAAAGACTTCTGAAGTAAACAAATCTGGAAGACAGAGGAAAGTGGAGGTTTGCCATGGTGAGTGAGGACAGCAGTGCTAAATACTCATCTTCCACAACAAGGGGTAATATCTAAATTGATAGATCAAGAAATAACCGAATCCCAGCATTCAATAAATATGTAACTGTGTCTACCATATGCTAGGCATTTTCACCAGTGCTGAGAGAAAAACAGTGTACATGCCTACTGTTTTAGAAATGTAGAGATACAAACCAGAAGAAACACAAATAAAAGTGATTTACTCTGGGGAGGGAGACTAAGGGAATAAGGAAGAATAAGACAGATTGACTATTGGGGGAGGAGCAAGATGGCAGAGGAGTAGGAGACCTAAATTTCATCTGGTCCCAGGAATTCAGCTAGATAGGGATCAAACCATTCTGAACACCTACAAACTCAACAAGAGAACAAAAAAAAAGAATAGCAGCAACTCTCTGAACAGACATCGACCACTTTCTGGAAGGTAGGACGTGCAGAGAAGTGAATCAGAGGCGATATTTGGGAGGATAGACGGCGGAGGAGGGGGCCTCCGTCGGC